ATATTAACATTTTTAAGAACAAATTGAGCATTTAATCATGTCGTTATTTTATTCAGACCCGAAATTGAGTCATTCGGATCTTTCTTTAATTTTTACAATTATCTAAAATGGGACAGTATATCACGGGTGAAATCCTAATTAGTATTTTAATATACAATTATAAATTGTTTTTACGGGTTGGTCCAAAAACACACACTAATTTAAAAATATACATGGAAACTATTTGAAAGCAACTTTCAAATTAACTCGAATTATATGATATTTAAATAAAAGTGTTATTAAGAAAATAACAAAATGATGTTTAATTTCATTTTAGATTATATGGTTGGACGGGTTTGGGTCAATATTAATACGAGACAATATACCACAGGTGAAATCCTATAAATAACAAATCAAAATACAATTATACAATCTTAAACACTAAACAAAACAAATACAACTTAAATTTTTTTATTTTAGATACAACGCATGTTACCCGCGGTATACAACAAAAAATATTATACACAATAAATTCATCAATTTATAAAAATAAAAAATCAAATAATTAACCCGCGGTGTACCGCGGGTCATATCCTAGTATAGCAACATAGTTATAGTAAATGTTTTGCCTTTTGTTTCTGTCACCCTCATCGTAGCACTGCCAAGGCTGAAAGAAGCTATGGAAAGGTGTAATGTTATTTTACTTTCATCGTATCCAATGCAGCAGAATCAGTGCTCAACAATTTTACATTCCCAAAACTTTTCTCAGCTTTGGACTCATCAAGTTGCAAATTTTCGAGATTAAATTGCTCATCAAAAAGAAACAACTTTGATAAGCAGTGTAAAGAATGCCAGAAATATCAACAAAACATCGACATGAGTATGAACATAGTTAGCTCGTTGTGTATTTTTAAAAAAATTTAGTTGTTGCAGCCATTGCATAGCGGTTTTCTCTTGTTACTTCAAAGTTATTCGGAGTTAAGACTAAGCTGAATGCTGACACGAGCCACATTTGGGGCTGCCTTCAGAATCTCTTTCTCTGCATGTTCAGCGGCTCTCATGACGTCCCTGCAGCGAAGCCAAATACTTGTCGGATGGTTACAAGAGAGTGGCCAAATGGCCTAAAGGTACAGACATGTAAGAGCTTTACTGTATTGTCATGGTCGATGGCATGGCGACTACGATTTGGAGCAAGATCTTGCTATGCAGCAAGTGGGTTGTAATTCGTTTGATCGTCATTTTCTGCAGATTTGCGAAAGATTCCATTGTTCTTGAAACTAATAAACAGGAGTAACCAGAGGTTGGGTTTGGTCTGGATTATAGACAAATGAGTACCTCAGAAAACTGTGACGAAAAAATGTCTGAGACAGTGGCTTCAACATGTTTAATCTCTTGGCAGATGTTACTTTCTTGATTACTTTTCGTTATACTGTCATGATCCATCGTGCTACAAGAAAACTGTAAAAAGGCTGGATCTGCAAGGAAAATTTGAGATGATAGCTAAGACCGAGAAGCAGTGAATAAGTTGATTAGACATCCATGCAGCATGCTGCATACCTATATGAATAAAAACTTCGGACACTTCAGGATGGTTCATATTAATCTGTCTCCGTACATATTCTCCTACCTCATGGGCAACACTCACACTGGAAAAAGGATCTACCTGTAAGGAAAAGGTGATAATGATTTATTTTATTGAGATAATTCTTTCTACTCTGAGGCAGAAGGAAGCAGCACTCACCACAATGTGTACATCAAGATACAACGATGAACCAGCTCTCCTACCCCTTAGCCGATGACATCCCTATGGATAAAGATTATCATGAAAGTCTTGATACTCGTTAGCAATTATTAAGAAAAAACATTAAAGGATGCTTTCTAATTACAGATAGACTGATAATAGAAAAGAACACCATATCGTTATATAGCAAGGTCGAATGCCTATCATAGGAAATGTACAAAGAATTACAATCTGTACCTTGACTCCTTCAACCTGTAATATGGTTTGTCTTATTGGCTCTAATTGCTGAGCTGGTATAGCAGCATCCACGAGTTCCAAGATACTAAACAAAGAAATGAGGTTTCAGCAATGGACATAGTGTTGGAACCAAAAAGACATATTTGTAACCATTATTCCATGTTCAAGCTATTACAACTTTTGTGTGGAGAAAAATAATCGAAAAAGCAACATATATAGCGTGAGTACCTTTGGTGTCCTGTTTTCAGCCCGGCATTGAAAATCATTGTCGAGACAACGAGGCCAGCTAGAGGATCTAAAAAGTGAACTCCGAACATAGAACCTCCTGCACAGAAGTAGTAATATTTGATGATTTTTTCAGAACCTGATGTCTCCCTTTCTCAATAGTTGCCTATAAAGGTATATGTTACAAAAGCTGGACCCATGAGAGACTTCATTGTCTCCCTTTCTTTATTAGTAGGCATATGCGTGACCAGGTCAGGGATAATGAAACAAAGGATATAGTTGATTTACATATTAACTCATTGGAAAGAAATGCTTACCAACTCCAACAAGTGCAACTAGAGAAGAAATAGCATCTGATCGATGATGCCAAGCATTTGCAATCATCAATCCACTCCCTTGTTTTTCTCCTGCTCGTTTTGTGATCCAATAAAGCCTGAGAAACATAAGATTCAGGCAGAGTGATCAAGGGGCAGGGATGAAGGAATAGCACAATCTCTTTGTGTTTCAGACATACAAAAGAAAAGGGGCAGTAGGTCCTGAGAAGCAAGTCTAACTAAAGTGAAAAGTTACAATTGTCTAGTTAGAACTAAAGGACGGTAGAGCAAAAGCTGTAGACGTGAAGCTATGGGGTATGATAAAGTTGATGGGATTAAAAAGAGTGATGTAATTGTACCCTTCTTTGATAGAAATGGAAGCAATAGTAACAGTCAAAGCGAGAATGGGATGATTCATATCAATTCCGTGATGATGTCCACCGTGATGATGAAGGACCTCAGGAGCTGCGGACAGTGCAATCTGCAAATGAGGAAAGAAGAGAGAAGAAGAAGAAATCTCTAAATAGAATTTCTTATTTCCCAATAAAGCAAACAGTGTCAACTGGAGAGATGTCAGTTGATAATAGATTAGCAGTATCTGAAGCAGGTGGGGATGAGTAAGTAAAAGAAAGAGGGAAAAAATCAGAAATGGGCAGAGAGAGAGAGAGGTCATACAGATAAAAGGTCTAAAGCATGCCAGGCAATACCAGAGCCAGTAGCCAAAAGCATGGCAGAGATGCCAAGGGCTCCAAGTGTTTCAAATTTACCATGACCTATGGTTCCCCACAAGAGGAAATGTTTGTATCGGGAATTCAAATTCATTCTTATTATAGTATGAAAGAGAAGAGCAAAAGGTAGGTAACCATATGGATGTTCTTTGTCCTTGGGAACATTTGCGGCTCTGTAAGACACTAGAGCAACACCACTTAGAACCTGACATCAGATGATGATGAATGTGAGAAACAAAACAAACGGATCATCATCTGATCTCTCCCCAAAAACAAAGCAAATGAGAATTACCACATCGGAAACGGAATGAGCAGCGTCGGCGATAATGGCGGTGCTGCCGCAGAGATACCCGGTGAGAGCTTTTGCGACAGATAAACCTATATCTGCGGTGAGACCTAGCCGGAAAATCTTCTCCCCTTCTTCTCCAGGCAGGTGACCAAAATGCCACCTTCTCGAGAAATCGAAATCGAAACTAGGGTTTTGCGAAGAAGAAGAAGATAGTCGGAGTGGTGATGATGGGAGATCACGGCAAGACAAAAGTCTGGACCTACAACAAATCCTCGGATTCACCATTTGAAATCTGATACCCATTTTTTGATCGTTTTCAGCTGATCAGGAACGCAACTACTCGATCAAACTCCCAAATTGACTTCTCTTTGACTGCGCGGTAACATCATTTTTTTACCGTTTCCTTTATTACCTTTTCACCCACAATTTATATTTTATACTCACTGAATGACAGCTTCATTTAATTTAAGGCCCCCATACTACATACATACTCTATGTTGTCACTATTTCATTTTGGGCCTAATCAAATCTTCTATAACTAACAAACAAACAGTAGAATGTTTAAATTTATTAAACAAAAACCGGTATGGTTATTTTTGGATTCAATTAACAAAACACTAATTGATTGGTCTTCTTCTTGTCTTCTTACAAACCAGAAAGAACCGGTTCTAGAATCGAACACTACTGAGTGATAGCAGATTTAAAAACATTGGTCGCCGGAATTAGAGTTGTCTACCGGCGGCATCAGCCACAAACGGAATGTAGGGCGTTTTGCCGAGTAAGCAGCTGACGACTCCGTACACAAAACACATAGAGCTGAAGACGAACACACCCGTGTGTCCCCACATCATCGCCTTCATTCCAAACCCGCCTCCTTGACCCGGATCCAGTATTCGGGTCAGCAGCACCGGCACTGCCAGCAGCACATCCAGCGTCACCGCCTGCATCGCGTTGAACCTCACGTACCTACTCAAACTCGTGTTCCTCACCACGCCCAGGTACAGCCCGAAGAATGCCACGAAGCTCGCGTACGGCACCGACCTGTACAGGTTCAGGATTGGGAATATTGGCTCGAACAGCAATCCCAGCCTAGGGTACTGCGCGAACAGGAATCGCCCGTACTGCAGCGAATTGAAGAAAGGCAGCGCGTACGACGCTATCGAAATCACGCGCTCCGTCGCCGGCGTCGGGGTGTAGGAGGCGCGTGTCGTCACGGCGGTTGCGCGTCTGCCTGAGGGGCGGATGGAGACGGTGGAGGATCCGGGGAAGGAGAGGCTGAGTGGTCTGCCTCTGAGAGCCGCCAGGGGATTAGTATTTAGGGTTTGGTGGAGAGAGAGGCACAGAGACGCCATTTTTGTCTGTGTTGATTCGTTGTTTGTTGACAAGAAGAGCAAAATAGTAGTTCAAAATGCTGCGTTTTCGAATCTATAAGTTTTGACCTTTATTGGGCCGACCTATCTATATAAATGGGCTTATATATTGGTATTAGCGGGCTTCATGAACAGAAGGTTCTGGCGCCGACAAATGAGAAGCGGAAACGAAGAAATGTGATGGCATTGATTGAAGTGAGTCGACTCGTCGGACCCAGTCAGAGCGAGTTGAGATAGAGCAGTTAAGAAACAGTAGAAGGTGAAAATGACGGATGTGACCCCACTTTCGGACCAGACCACTCCCCGAGTTAGCAAGAAGTGAGAAAAAACTGCCTGTTGGCCACTCGCGCGCTATCCCCGACCAAGGGCCTTACCGTCATTTTGTTTGGAAACTAGTAGTAAAAATTTATTTGTTGTTTTCTCAAGTATTTTTTTCTTGGAAATATCTTCCCTTTTCTGGGATGCTTTTACTTGGCGACTCATGGACCAAGAGAGAACCAAAAAAATAAATCACAAAAAATATATTACAACCTATATAAAAAAAACGAAAAAAAAAAAAGAAATTGAAAGCTAAAAAAAGAAACACAAGTGCAGAGGGCAGACCGTACGGTAGTATTCCTGAAGAGCGAAAGAAGAGAGAGAGAGAGAGACCGACCAAAGAAGCTCCTCTCAGTCACTGTCGAAGCATCTCTTCTTCTTCTTTTTTTCTCTCTCAGGCTCTCTAATCGGCTTCTCCGGTAAATCTCCGTCGATCCACCGATGAGCTTTTTGACATTAGTTCTCTAGTTTGGTGAGGAGTTTTGACTAACTTTTTTACTGTACACCAAATCCCTAAAAATAAGGACATGTATGCTCGCAATCCTCCCATCAATGGCTCACAATCTGCTCAAGCTCCCGACTGGACCACCCCCGGAGATGCCGATACTACTGGACTCGAAGGTCTCTTCTGCTTCTTCTTCTTTTTACTCGCATGCGCTTTGATTCTCAGCAACTGTCCGGTCTCTTTAGGGTTTCTGTGCTCAATTTGTGTTTTGCAGAATCGATGTGGCGATTAGGGTTGGGTTGCGAGTCGTACCCTGAGCGACCAGGTGCCCCTGACTGTGCCTACTACATGCGAACTGGTGTCTGTGGTTACGGTAATAGATGTCGTTACAATCACCCTCGCGATCGTGCCTCGGTAACTTTCTTCTTTCTCAGTATTGTATTGTTGCTTCTCTCTGAAACCATCCATACTAGGAAACAAATCAAATGCTCCTCTCTCTCCTTTTTCCGTAATGTGGCTCATCACTGCCCTTATAGAGTCTCTCAAAACCCAAAACTGGGGAAAGTGTTAAGCTTGACTGGTTTCAGTTGTTGTGCTTAAGTCAGGTTTTTTGTCTTATGCATCTTCACTCTGCGTTTCTTATCTATATTTGCTGAGAGTCTTGTTAGTAGTATTGCTGAGAGTCTTGTTTGATTTTCGCTTACCTTTTTATGCTCCCTTATCATTTTGTCGTTTGGCTTGGCCAGAGTTTCTTTACTATTTTCTTAGCAATGTCTTCTTTGCATTGATTGTTGTATAGGTTGAAGCAGCTGTTAGAGCTACAGGGCAGTATCCAGAACGTTTAGGTGAACCCCCATGCCAGGTAGGTATCCCCGACCAGTCTTTTTTTATGATCCAAGTGATGATACAAGGTTTTTAGTGATATTATTGATCCTACATTCCGGTTATGTTCCTAGTTTTACTTGAAAACTGGAACCTGTAAATTTGGGGCGTCATGCAAATTCCACCATCCAAAGAATGCTGGTGGATCCATGACCCACGTTCCACTAAATATATATGGATACCCAGTACGAGAGGTAAGCTTTGTTTCCACTCTTTTCTACATGTCAAATCAAGGCTAGTGTCGAGTTTGCATCATCTTTTAAAAACTCTTTGTAGGGTGATAACGAATGCTCCTACTATTTGAAAACGGGGCAATGCAAATTTGGTATAACCTGTAAATTTCATCATCCTCAGCCTGCTGGTACAACTGTCCCACCACCACCACCAGCATCTGCACCTCAGTTTTATCCATCGGTGCAGTCACTTATGCCTGACCAGTATGGAGGTCCATCTTCTAGCTTGAGAGTTGCAAGAACTCTTCTTCCCGGTTCTTATATGCAAGGCGCCTATGGTCCAATGCTATTAACCCCCGGGGTCGTTCCTATTCCAGGCTGGAGTCCTTATTCGGTAACCTTTTTTTGATTGTTGTATCATCAATACATTTATTATTCACCACAGTCTCTTTCTGACTCACTTTTGCTTCAGGCACCTGTGAGCCCTGCTCTATCTCCTGGTGCGCAGCACGCTGTTGGGGCAACTTCTTTATATGGAGTTACACAGCTCTCTTCCACCACTCCTTCGCTTCCCGGGGTTTATCCATCTCTGTCCTCTCCTACAGGTGTTATACAGAAAGAACAGGCCTTTCCAGAGAGACCTGGTGAACCAGAGTGCCAATACTATTTGAAAACAGGAGATTGTAAGTTTGGAACATCTTGTAAGTTTCATCATCCTCGAGATCGGGTTCCACCAAGAGCTAATTGCATCCTCAGCCCCATTGGTCTTCCTCTACGCCCGGTATGCTCTCTCTAAAATAATGAAGGTTGTTGATCATAGTAACAATTCTCTCTAAATCCGTTGTTTATCTTGGGTTGAAAACAGGGTGTGCAACGCTGCACTTTCTACGTACAAAACGGCTTCTGTAAGTTTGGATCAACATGTAAATTTGATCATCCAATGGGAACAATCAGATACAATCCTTCTGCATCGTCTCTAGCTGATGCACCGGTGGCTCCTTACCCAGTGAGCTCTCTCTTGGGTGCTCTCGCAGCCGCACCTTCTTCTTCATCGACTGAGCTCATAACAGGCGGTGCAAAAGATCCGTACTTGACCGGTGTGCCTACATCAAGAAGCACATCAAACATCTCGGCAGGTTTGATTTTATCCCAGAGTGGTGGCTCAATTCCATTCTCTGACCTGCAACTCTCGAGCCAGACATCTCTTCCTCTAACAGGTAGCAGAATCACAAGACAAGGGCGAGAAATTCGTCGATCCTTTTGAACTGATCACCTCAGAAAAGGGTACGCATACGCAGTCCTCTGGATCACCTTTAGCAATTCTTAATCTATATGATTATTATATAGAATTATGTGATGTGAATTTATATATATATATATATATATATATAATCTTCGTACCTTAGAAGAAAAAAAAGCCTATCAGAGTAGAAGACCTAAGTGAGAATCACATATATATGAGAGGAAATCTATATGTGCATATATCAAAAGACAAAAACAAAACAAAAAAAAGGCTTCTTTTTAAAAAAAAATTTGTGTATAATGTTTGTATAGAGACAGACAAGGTTTCTTTGTCTTGTCCGTACTTCTACTTCAGATCCATTGCGGCTGAGAAAAAAAAACAGAGGCAAAGAGCTCAATTCTCTTTTTCTTTTAGATTATTTTTTCCTTTTAGTCTACCAATTGGTGAACTTCTCATGTTAAGGTTTGTTTTTTTTTTTTGTAGTTGAATGATGTGTGTTGTTAATTTTGTTATGTTACTGCTTCACACATTATATATGTTACGGTGAGGAAGCAACCAAACATTTAAAGACTATTTTTGAAGATTGGCACCATTATCTTGAATTTATTTATTTCTTAAAAAAAAGGTTTTGAAATGTAGATGTGGGGAAGCACACACTGATCCTAGAATCGATCAATAGCATTGGGAAAGTGGTGCAAAAAAAGAGACAAGAGAAATGATGGAAACAAGTTAAAAAAAAAATAATAATAAGGAGACGGAAGTAATCTTAGAGAAAACCCTACCTGAGAAAAGAAACCATCATGCTCAATTAAATATGCTTCGCCATCATTTGCTCTTATTTGCCTCGCCCACTTGTCTCTCTCTTTCTCTACTCGTACTTTTCTTTTTGTCAAAGCCATTGTAATTTGAGAGCATCCAGCTTAAGCTATTAAACTTGGACATCCGGCTTTGGATTTACCAAAATTTAACTTTGATTGAGTGAGATAACATTGTAATGAATCGCGTATTACAGTATGATTTTTTGAGTAGGTTAGGAGTAGTAAACTTTTTGTTTTTCTTGTTTTCTCGTTTAAGCTACTTTTCCCTCTTTCCGGTTTTGAAAAAAAAAAAAAAAAGAAGAAGAAGAGAGACATAGAGGTATGATTACAACCCCCAAAAGCAATGCAACCATTCACATTTCCTGCAGTATAGTTTTTCTATTAAAAAATATATAAATAACCCGGTGTAAAATAAATTAAAAAAGACACGATAAGAAACCTTTTAAACTTTTCACCGAAAAGCATAAGTAATAAACAGCACACTTAATTGACTTTTTACGCTAATCAACATACACATATATTGCTTTTCAATTAAAAAATAAAATGTGAAACATACAGAGCAAACTACCTATATATTGATATCTTGTAAGAAAATCTAAATATTAATACCACCTTGATTAAAAAAAAGAAGAGAAAAGCATTTTGTATAACCTGACGTGTGGACTGTGGGATGAGATCATGTAATCATACAAGCACTCTCACACTACCTATAGAAAGCGAGATTAGTGTCCTAATTCCCGGAGGATAAAGTTATATACATTCACCTAATTTTTTATTATATGATATGCACATAAAGAAGAAGAAGAAGAAGAAAAAACTGTTTGTTTTAAAGAAGAAAGTCATAATTCCGCTTTAATTCTGCATGAATTCATGTGTGTTTTTAACTCTCACTCCATGGCACAATCTTTCATATTTGAAAGGCAGAGAGAGAGAGAGAGAGCATATGCAGCCGACAGTAAGGAACATTTTTGGTAGAAACACAAAAACATATTTGCAATAACACAAAAAAAGGTTTGCAACTTTATTTGGGGGGAAGAGAGATCTAAATCTAATGGGTGTTGTTACTGTTCCTGAGTCTAAGCAAAGTGTTGCTGCTAAAAGAGCGTTTCGTCCAAGTTCCAGCATCAGACACACTCCTCAATGGTACTCATCACTAACTCATCTTTTCTTTCCTTTGTGACAGTTTTTTTTCCCTTTGGTTTTCTCTTCCTGCTGATATCTCTGTTCCAGGCCTGTCTCGGACGTTACGAGTGACTTAACCATCGAAGTCGGCTCTGCCAGCTTTTCCCTTCACAAGGTAAAGAAATTCAAGCTAGCTAATAAGCTCGTGAACTCGAAACTGCTTTACACAAACTCGTTGTCTCTTGTTTTTTTTTTTGTTTTCAGTTTCCCCTCGTCTCTCGGAGTGGAAGAATCCGGAAACTTGTTCTGGAATCAAAAGACAAGAACCTTAACCTAGCCGTAGTTCCAGGCGGCTCAGAATCGTTCGAGCTCGCTGCAAAGTTCTGCTACGGCGTTGGCGTCCAATTCAACTCGTCCAACATTGCGGCTTTGCGGTGCGTGGCTCATTACCTTGAGATGACAGAAGAGTTGTCGGAGAAGAACCTGGAGGCGAGAACAGAGGCCTACCTCAAAGACTCCATCTTTAATGACATTTCGAATTCGATCACTGTTCTTCACTCCAGCGAGAGGCTACTGCCTGTAGCTGAAGAGATCAACCTCGTCGGGAGGCTGGTCAACGCAATCGCTGTAAACGCCTGCAAAGAACAGCTAGCCTCTGGTTTGCTCAAGCTTGATCAGAATTTCAGCTGCGGCGTGCCGGAGACTGAGAAACCTTGTGACTGGTGGGGGCGCTCTCTTCCCATCCTCAAGCTCGATTTCTTCCAGAGAGTTCTCTCCGCCATGAAATCCAAAGGTCTCAATCACGACATTATCAGTGACATCCTCATGAGCTACGCTCGCAAGTCACTGCAAATCATCAGAGAACCGAGTCTCGTCAAATCAGATTCCGATCTGCAGAGGAAACAGCGAATCGTCCTTGAAGCGGTCGTGGGGCTCCTCCCAACGCAAGCGAACAAAAGCTCAATTCCGATATCGTTCCTCTCTAGCTTGTTGAAGACCGCTATAGGATCTGGAACCTCCGTCTCTTGCAGATCGGATCTGGAGAGACGGATCAGCCACCAGCTCGACCAGGCGATCCTGGAAGACATCCTTATTCCGGCGAACATGGGCGCCATGTACGACACCGACTCGGTGCAGAGAATCTTCTCCATGTTCCTGAACCTTGACGAGTGCGACTACAGAGATGATGACGACGACGAGGACGCTGGAGATGCGGTGGACGAGAGCGAGATGGCGATTTACGATTTCGAGGGGGCTGAGTCTCCGAAACAGAGCTCCATCTTCAAGGTGTCGAAGCTGATGGATAGTTATCTCGCTGAGGTGGCTCTCGACTCGAGCCTCCCTCCCTCCAAATTCATAGCTCTCGCAGAGCTTCTCCCTGACCATGCTCGCGTCCTCTGCGATGGTCTCTACCGAGCCGTTGATATCTTCCTCAAGGTAGTCCAATCCAAAATATCATAAAAGAATCTGCTTTTTCACTTGACTAAATTATTGCTCACTGTGTTATGGTTTTGGATTAGGTTCATCCCCACATGAAAGATTCAGAACGTTACCGTCTCTGCAAGACAGTCAGCTGTAAGAAACTGTCGCAGGACGCAAGCAGCCATGCGGCGCAAAATGAGAGGCTTCCGGTTCAGATTGCTGTTCAAGTCCTGTTCTACGAACAGACACGGCTCAAGAACGCCATGACCAGCGGCGGTGGCACGAGCCAAAGCCAGTTCTTCTTGTTCACAAACCGCTCGGGAAGCGGGATGGCAAGCGGAGCGATCTCGCCGCGGGACAACTATGCGTCAGTGAGAAGAGAGAACAGAGAGCTGAGACTGGAAGTGGCCAGGATGAGGATGAGGCTAACGGACCTCGAGAAGGATCATGTTTCGATGAAGAAAGACTTCGTGAAGCCGCAGAGCAGGAGGAGGCGTTATGGAATGTTGAGGAAGCTCTCAAGAGGTCTGAACAAGTTGAACGCAATCGTTTTGAGATTTAGGAGCAGCCAAAGTACTCCCAAGAACGGTAAGCATACGGAGGAGAAAACGAATTCGGAAAGACGATTCATGTTTCAGAAGAGAAGATGTCACTCTGTTTCTTGAGTTTCTTCTTCTTCGAGTCTTTCTAATGCTTTTGTGCATGTAATCTTTTTAAAAAAGAAAAAAAAAATGGAGAGTGAATTTGGGTGTGTAGATTTGTAATTTACAGATTCTAGGGTTGCATTACCTTCCCAAGATTGTATATAGCCGTAGTTGATAATAAGGATCAAGTTTGAGAGTGCTGCTTGATTGCTTGGTCAGTTAAAAGAGGAAAAACAATTAAAAAAATTAAAATGAATGTATATCAAAGATAGTTACTAAAAGGCCTTTTCTAGGAAGTAGGCCTAAATATTATTTATTGGGCTCAACGGCCCATAAAACTTCTGCGTGGATAAAGTGGTTTCAAATTAGACGAGCAAAAAAAAAGAATTTTTGAGTCACGGGCCTAATCTTTCCTTTATAGGTAGAGAGAATTTGCAGTATGTCAACGCGTTGTGATGAATGATTCTGATCATAAGGAAAAAAAGAATAGAATCTACGACCTATACAAAGCCCATGGACGGTCGAGATTAGAACTAATAGAATAAATAATAAATATGACTGGTCCTATGTTTGCCACGTCGTTTGATCCCCCACGACAAGGTAATTTATCTGTCTTACCTAAATTTCGTGAAGATATTTACAATTGAATATATATCAAGATATTTCTAATTATAAGTAAAAAAGTTTGAAAACAGAGATTAACCAAACACACAGTCTCTTATCTCACGTATAAAACCAAACAAACAATTGCTGTGACTCTTCAAAGTGTTTGTTAGTCTCACTAGAAAAGTATTTTTGTCTCCCTCTGTAACAGGTTGGCCAAAACCTAGATGTAAGGAAAATTAACTATATAATTTATCTGTAACAAAAAAAGCCTATGATAACTTGTGATGACACACTGCACCACACGAATCCCTTTTTCGTTTTACTTTTACCATCCTTCCAAACAAATGTTTTTTTTTTTTTTGGTTATACGACACTTTTACACACACCACACCAGTCAACACCAGATTTTTGCTTTTTACAGATTCTTTTGACTTTGTTGTATACTATCATTATTTTTAAATTAACCGTTTGATGAATGACTAATTCACTACATAAAAAAAAAAAAAAAGAAATATCACCTTTTGGCCATATTCCAAACAAAAACTAGTGTATTATTATTATTATTTTTTTTTTTTTCATCAACTAGTGTATTATGGTGTATAGACAAATGTCAAGGGTATGTGATGCTGCTGCCTGTCGCAGACCGAAAGCGACCAAACTTATCTTTTTGATTACACACCAAAATATTTAATTGATCGCGTTATTCATTATCCGAAAATATATCTCAAATCCAGCACATGCGGGGCTATAAATAATAGTTTGATCGATCGGCTTGTTCGTCATCATTACACTCAAGGCTTCGAATTAACATCTCTTCGTCTTTATCGATGGAACGAGTAAGAGATTTGGCATCGAAGAAGGCGGCAGTGATATTCACGAAGAGCTCGTGTTGCATGTGTCATAGCATTAAGACACTCTTCTACGAGCTCGGGGCAAGTCCTGCGATCCATGAGCTTGACAAGGACCCACAAGGCCGTGACATGGAACGGGCCCTCTTCCGGGTATTTGGGTCCAACCCTGCTGTCCCAGCGGTTTTCGTAGGAGGGAGGTACGTCGGCTCAGCTAAAGACGTCATCTCCTTCCACGTGGATGGCTCCCTCAAGCAGATGTTAAAGGATTCTAAAGCCATATGGTTGTGAGTTGTGACTAGTCATCATGCTGCTTACTATAATTAATTCGCCACTAATTCATATTAATTATCATTTATTTTCGTGAATGATATATTATAATTTACATATATTTATCTAAGTTTTTGATGAGCTATATACATCACACATTCTGCGTGAATTATAATGTTAGAAATCGTAGAAGATTATGCTCGTAGAGTCATATTAGTTAATTATCAGTTGATACGAAGAAACTTTAATGTAAAATCAATTAACACATAAAGGTAGTTAATTAATATCGGAAAATAACCTGGATTTAGCATAATATCTTCCGATAATGGGGAAACAAATGTATGTATAACTAACCGATATACAGATGAATATCGAACTGTAACAAATATGATCGGTTTCGAATCAAACATAAAAGATAATCCCCCTCATGGAAAGCTATACTACACTCACAAATGACAAAACAATCGGAAAAGTAAACCAAGAATGACACAGATGATGGTTAACATATGCGTGTGATTCACGCGTGCGTCCGGCAAGAAAGACATTTCGAAAGAAATGAATCAAACATTAGTGTAAGTGTGAAAGAAGAATATATAAAAAGAAAGATGGAATAATTTTCTTTGGCAAGTTGGTGTTGGCGGAATCACCATGTACTATGCATATTGTTGATACATAGATATACATGTTTATCACCGAAAGGTCCAATCTTTTTCATTTATCCTCACCTTGAAGCAATGTGACTCAATCAAAGGAGATATGTTAAGAGAATCCGTTAGATTATAAATTGACAAGCCTCTTTTCTTTTTCTAGGGGTAGGCTAGTATCATGCTATATTTCTTTTCACATTAGTTTGAATATCAGTTTAAAGAAATCGATTAGCCAAAAAAATTAATAAGAAATCGTTTGATATCTACCATTGTTGTAATCAATGGTTGCATGCATGCATAGCGTGTAATTTAGGGTGCAGAGATGGTTGTATAATTAGAAGCATGGGTTATGGTGAATGAATACAAGTGTTTTTTCTAAATTTTCAATACAACACATGGTAAAAGTTAACTAATTTCGGTAGAATAAAAAAAAAGTTTATAAAATTATTTTTCCTATCATCTCCATTCCATTCATTTTTTTATTCTTTCTAAACTGTAAATATCATATAAATGAAAATTGGGTATTACAACAAGCTAACCCATGCTTTTGTAACCATGGCAAAAAAAAAGAAATGGAAAAAACATGGCAACAAATGATTTTAGTGAAGATATAAACCAACAATTAACGCATCCATAGAAGCATTACTTATTCTTATATATTTCACATTCATAATTATTCTTGTGCTTACCATTTAGATGTTTATATCGATGTCACGGCCGGCAATGCGTATATACTAATATTTACGATTAACCCGCAAAAAGGTGAAATTTTACGAATACGATTCGGAAAAAGGTAAATTTTTGACGCATTAATTTTCGAATCGTATTCAGAAATTACTAATCAGCATGTTATATGACGATCGAAACAGCTGCAGCGTAAATAAAAATAAATCGAATAATTTAGAAGTGAGAGAAATGTCTGCAATTTGTGCAGTCAAACAGAATATAAATACGAAGAAAAATACTCAAATAGCCATCTTTTTTGAGCATCTGATATTTATCTTTCCTTTTTGATATTTTCTTATACTTTTTAAATGTGCCTTTCTTTCTAATTAACAAGGAAAAAAATAAAATAAAAACACTCGAAAGACACACTCCCTTCCTATAAATAGCCAAGCAGATGTCAAGCTTTTTACATACTCAAAACAAAACATACATCAAAACGCTAAAGTTTAAACCCTAGCCATCATCAGATCTTCAGATTTCTGAGGATCATGGACAAGGTGATGAGAATGTCGTCAGAGAAAGGAGTGGTGATCTTCACGAAGAGCTCATGTTGTCTCTGCTACGCCGTTCAGATCCTGTTCCGTGACCTTAGGGTTCAACCAACCATCCACGAGATCGACAACGACCCGGACTGCCGTGAGATCGAGAAGGCTCTTCTCCGGCTCGGCTGTTCCACGGCGGTTCCAGCTGTCTTTGTCGGAGGCAAGCTTGTTGGCTCCACCAATGAAGTCATGTCCCTTCACCTTAGTGGCTCTCTCGTCCCCTTGATCAAACCCTATCAGTCCATCCTTTACTAGCAAATCAAACCAACTCAATATATATTAGCTAGTGAGAATAAACACAGTTAAAGCTAGAGTGTGAGCTAGCTAGATATTCAGTGAGGACTTCGTCTGAAATGTTTATCTTATGTATGTTCTATTGTTTAGCTTCTCTCGTGTTTCAGTTTAGTTAATCAACTGGTGTATGTTGATGTATAACTCTCTGTTCATGCTAATGAAAAATAGTATTCAAACTCTGATGTTATTTTCTTTGAAAAACTTTTTCACATATCATATTATATTATACACAATTGTGTATATTATTAAGCAGTTTAGGGCTTTCCATTTAATAAGGCAAAAAACTGTTTATATACTTCTTAATTTGTTTTTAACATGGTACCAAGAAGATGAAACGGACTTTTATTCGTGAAATATTTCTGATTATATATGTTAATTAAGTAGGCGGTTAGGGTTTTATAATTAAAAAAATGAAAACTTGCAAATAACATTTTGAAAATATAAAAGCTGCATTTTTTTTTTAACTTTGTAGCTAAAATAAAATGTGACATTAAGTATGAATGGACTTGCTAACACATATGCATATGCATGAACTCGTCTTCTGATTATTAAGATACTAATTAATAAGTCGGCGTCATCATTATTAGTAAGACCTATTGATATGTAAGATTATGTCGGGAGATATGCAGGTTTAATTAGCCTAGCTAGGATGTTGTGTTTAGAGCGTAATTTTATTCACGGATGATTTTTCTTAGCCATTGCCCATTAGAGCATACATCCATATATGTGAAAGTATTAGAATAGACTTGAGTCTTCACCATAGAAATTCGGTATATAAAAAAAACAATGATATGATACCAATGGCCAAATGCAACTAAAGCAGTTTGAGGAAAAGAATGGAAGATCTTTGGCGGTCCAAAGTATATCATGGCTACACAAAATTTATCATTGCTTTTTTTTTTTTCCTTTCTTTTATTCTTGTATCCTAGAGAAAAATTGTATTAATGAACTTTTTATATATATGAAACTCTTTGTTTTTTTGTTAGCTACTCGTGTTGCAGACATATTCTCATAATCAATAAAAACATGCAATGATTTTTTTTGTTCTTGCAAAGAAACATGCAATGTATTTATAAGGAAAAAATTACTAACGTATCATGAAATAGTTGTTATATACTGGACATTAACGATCCTCTCAGCGATATAGATAACGAAGCATATAATTATTCTTTGTTCCACTTTTTGTCACTTGAGATTGAATGTAACTGCTTTGTAGATATAAAAATTTAAAATTTATTACGTACAGATTTAACCACGTTAATTAATTAATAAATAATGGATTTGAGCTTCACATGCATGATGCATTATATAAGTATATAACCATGCATCATTATTTATTTCCCTTTAGTTACTCAAAGTAGTTACCCAAATCAACTACTTCAAAATTCTCTAATCAAGCGAGTAAAAGCCTCTATAGTTATAGTCCCTATATAGACCTTGAAGTTTTGTTTTTGAAAAAAATATTATTACACTGAGTTCATAAAGGTGGAAGGAAATAATAAAGGTAGAATCCCTTTACATGATGTGCGGAACAACTTTCTTAACCTCCAACTTCTTGGGATCGTGGGAATTGGGAGAATCTAATCGGAAGTTGTATAGAACGTGTAAGAACTAAGAACCACATTCACTTTGTTGTCATTGTTATGAGATTCAAGATTCTTTGACCGGCGCGTGATAAAAGCATCCACCTATAGGCTTAAGATTCGTATCCAAGAAAATATCGAGAACCTCGATGATTACTTAGAAAATGGACCATTTAAAAAAAAATTAAAAAGGAACGAAGCTCATACGAATATTGAAATCCACCAAAGCGAAATGGTACAACATTCGGTTTCAGTTTAGTTTCTATTTGTGTTTTTATTTTTATTTTTTATGTTTGCTTTAGACTCTGCTAATTCATATTCAAATTGATTCTTGGTTAGTTAATTTGAATCGGAAAACTCTCAAGGTGTTTAAATGAAGTAATATTTTGTTTGGTAACTTGTCTTTAAATACGTTCATATATATATATATACACACTGATACATACTAAACCTGATTCACCGATAACTAATTGGATCTAGTAATCCAATGGCTCCAAATTCAATTTCGATTTTTTAAAAATCAATTGTTATAGCCATGTTACGACTTAGACGAGGATGCAAAAGCAACCCTAGCTAGACTATCTAGTGATATGTGTTACTTTTCAAGAGCAGTAGCCAGTAGTTGTCGAGATCATGTTTCCAACAGAGTATCTCAAAAAATGTCTAAAAAATTAAAAAAAATAATAATAATTAAAAGTAAAAGAGAGAAACTGTGAGACATTGTGTATAACACTTAGCATCATTTAGTTAAAGTTTTTTCAAATTAATTAAAATTTAAACAAATAATTTATTTATTATAAAAATATTAAATTATTATATTTGAGAAACTTCTATAGTTTCTCACCATTGGAAATGCTCTTAGTGTCTCTGGGATGTTCGAACAACAGCCCACTAATAATTTATTTGGTGATAAAATGTGAATTATATTACCAAAAGGAACAAGGTTATTTACAACAGCTTGGGGCAGGGAGCTTCTATGGTCAAAAAAATTAAAAAGCCTTAGATTACTATTACATAGAACAGCCCACTAATATTACCCAGCATGTCTCTTTTTTCGGTTTTCCATCGTGTCCTATAAGTCAAAACTATGGTTTTAGTTAATCTTGAATAGGTTTAAGTCAGTACGGTTCGAGATAACTCTAATTGACAACTACCTTCATGGAGTAATAGTTATTGAGGAAAGATGATGAGATTTTAGTGGAGATAAGCAATTTTGGACTCAATAATCTTCAATTAATTGTGGGATCCATTTTCCATTTTATCTATATATATATATATATATATTTGCAAACAAACAAAAAAATTGGATAAAAAAGAAGAAAAATTCACTATCGAGCATTCTAGCTATGTCGGTAACGTGACAAAGTCCTTTTTTTTTTTTTGTTTGTCTGTTTTTTAAAAGTTAATCAAATCGGCCAACGCTGCCTCAACAACGAGCTTCCTTTTTCTAACGTCCCTAATTTGCCACGTCCATTTTCTGGACTAGTCTCGGTTTAAAAATCTTAGCTTATACTATATTTTTGTGGCCAACTTCAACTACTCTTTCTCTTACTCCCTTCTTTAGTTGTCTTAGTTTTGTCATTATTTTGTAATAACCTATAACAAAGTATTGTATATACGGTATTGGTAGCCAAAATGTGTTATGTTAAATTCTAGGCTAATCTGGTATAATATATATATGCATGTCAAGAAAAGTGATTAATTTGTTTGCTTGTCTATTCCATATATAGTGTGTAGAAGTGGCTTTGTCTTTATCACCTACTATATCAGAATTATTTGACTTATGGGCATTAATGCTATTTATTTATACGGTGAAAAAATCTTCAAAATTTTACGAATTCACTTGTATCACGTTCACTACTGACAGTTTTACTACTGGTTGGACGACAAACTGTAGTAATTCAGTAAATCCGTCCACTAATTTCTATTAAACATTTTTACTTTTTTAAATTTAAAACAAAGTATGTTTATACCAATTAATTGTATCATTATTCGAATTCAAATCCTTTGTAAGCAAAATAACTATATTTCACGAGTTAAGGAACAAAATAAAGAAAGGCACGGGAAGGTGAAGAGAGTACTAGCTAGTGTGTTTCCAGCTTCTTCCCCAAGAAATAAGAATTGACTTTGTCTAAGCAAATGGCGTCACTTTAACGTCATTACCTAGAATGCAATTAAGATATGGCTTTTACATAAGCCACCAAAATTGGTTCAAAATATCCCAAGAAAACAACAATTGTACCTTGATTTTCTTTCTTCTTCTTACCAAATCTGTCGGCATCGTCTCTAATCTAAGCTCCTCCTATGGAAGAAGAAGAAGGTCATCAGCAGCGTCGCCGCCTCTGCGACTATTGCGACTCCTCCGTGGCTCTTGTCTACTGCAAAGCTGACTCCGCCAAGCTCTGTCTCGCCTGCGACAAGCAAGTCCACGTCACCAACCAACTCTTCGCCAAACACTTCAGGTCACTTCTCTGCGACTCCTGCCACGACTCTCCCTCTTCCCTCTTCTGCGAGACGGAAAGGTCTGTTCTTTGCCAGAACTGCGACTGGCAACACCACACCGCCTCTTCCTCCCTTCATAGCCGCAGACCCTTTGAAGGTTTTACCGGCTGTCCCTCCGTGCCTGAGTTGTTGGCAATCGTTGGCCTCGATGACCTCACTCTCGATTCCGGTTTGCTTTGGGAGTCACCGGAGATCGCTAGCCTCAACGACCTTGTTGTGTCGGGCGGGTCGGGTACTCATAACTTCCGGGCCACGGATGTTCCTCCTCTGCCTAAGGTATAATAACTTGCTCTGTTTTCTTCGAGCCAATTGCTCTGTTTTTTTCTTTCTCTGAAATGCTTTGAAAATCTCCAGAACCGTCACGCCACCTGCGGTAAATACAAAGACGAGATGATCCGACAGCTCCGTGGACTAGCGAGATCCGAGCGGACTTGTCTGAAATTCGAAACCCGGGAAGCTGAGATGGATGCCGGATTCCAGTTCCTGGCGCCGGATTTGTTTTCTACAAGCGAGCTGGTAAGATAGATAGTCACTAGTCAGTCTGCTTTTGGTTGTTTTTGTGCTTATTTGTCAATTGATTTTCCAACGCATAAATCAAATATGAAGGAGAGTGGACTGAAATGGTTCGATCAGCAAGATCATGAGGACTTTCCATATTGCTCTCTGCTAAAGAACTCGTCAGAGTCAGATGAGAAACCTGAGAATGTAGACCGAGAGTCTTCTTCGGTGATGGAGGAGGAGATTGTGATGGTGCCCGTTTGCACTAGTACAAGGTCGACGACACATGAGATCAACAGTCTTGAGAGGAACTCTGCTCTCTCTCGCTACAAAGAAAAGAAGAAATCTCGAAGGTTAACTCTCATCTCTAATTTTAAAACCATTAGGATTGGGATTCATTCATCAATCATGTCTTGATGAAACAGGTACGAGAAACACATCAGGTATGAATCACGCAAGGTTCGTGCAGAAAGCAGGACAAGAATCAGGGGACGTTTCGCCAAGGCAGCAGATCCATGAATGATGTGTCCAATTACTTTGATAACCAAAAAGAACTTTTGTATTATTAATGGAATCATATAATAATGTCTATGATCAGATAAGTTTTTGTTATTCTAAGCTTAGGAGTTTACCACTGTATATCGACCACACTCTCAAATAGTCACTTAAGAAACCGTCTGTTTTTTTTTTGTTTTGCCTACGATTCCTAATTTGCCTAAGGCAACATGGAGGATCACAGAACAAAACATGGATCACACTTATATACAACTACACAAGCAAGCAGCAAAAGATGCAGCTTCTTGTTTATGAACCACGGAGAGATAGACTTGTTGTAATGTTAAAAAGTGAGATTGGACCCATAAGAATACGAGATCCATCGAGCTGTAATTAATATTATGGACCAATGGAAATCTGAGATGTAATGTGAGTTTTGGTTGAACAAGGAATCTGGAGAGGTTTTTCTTGTTTAGCAATCAGTAAACACTAAATCGTTTATCAGACTTGTGGTTCTAATTCTCTGTCTTCTTGTTACTACTCAACTTGGACTTTTTTATTTGTTGATGGTTTACATTTTCGGATTTGAACATTTGGTGAAGATTGGTGGAGATGAGAGGAAGAGTGGCTACAGCTTTAAGCAATCTTGCATCTCTCAGTCTTCGTCTACTGTTTGTTGACGTTGAAGATTAGGCTCCAACAAACTTATATTTAACCCAGCCTTCCTCTGTTAATTCTCCTGTCTTCTACGCACAAGACTGCTGATTCCCGTAGAGACATCTTCACCACACTGTTGAGAGATCTCTGACATGGGACCTGGAGGACCTGGAGGACCCGGAGGACCTGGTGGACCAGGAGGACCAGGGTTTTTGCCACCTGGAGGACCAGGGTTCTTGCCACCGGGAGGACCCGGCTTCTTCCCACCCATTGGTGGTTTCTTTTCTGGGTTCTCAGACATGATATGTTCCTGGTAAAGACATTTTCTGTTTTGCTATGTGTTTTGTAAAGTGTTAAGTTGTTAGTTTGACTATGGTATCTTGCAGTCTATCTTGCCTGTGCTGCTGCTGGCTGCTACGAGATTGCTTTGGCGGCTCACCACCACAAGGACCGCCACTTCTTCCTCCCTATAATTGATCACATCTAGCTCTTTTGGTCACAAGCATAATATTAAAGCGATCTCTGTATATGATATTGCTGATGCTTGTCAAATTCAATCTTATATATGACTCAGATACTTCAAATATCTGGATTACTGCTCTGTCTGGATATATATTCTCCAAAAAAACGATCAAATTAATTATCAGAGAAATGAAATCATAGTCTGGAACTACAATCACTAGCAACACAACGCAACAACAACAACAAACACAATCTACAGTCTTCGATTCTTGACTCTCTCTTTTTGTATGGACTTTGCCAAGACTTTTGAAACTATGTACACACACTTCTAAGACGAGGCCAAACCAGTCTTCTCTTTCAACATGATACAACTAAATAAACCCGGAGTCACACGGTTTGTTGGAAATCATTCACATGCTATCTTGGTGTCGAAACTGCTAAGGCAAATGGTGAAGGCCTGGAAGGCAGAGATTGGGTACTGATAATCCATTGTGAACACATCTTTTCCGACTTTCCCGAACTGGAGAATCACGTTTTCGTGCTCAGGTCCTGCAGGTCCATTCTCAGGAGCAGCTACCAGCTGAAAGTTTTTGACCGAAGCAACAGTGACTCTCCCATTGAAGTTTAGGCACCAGCACTGGAGCTGTTCGTGCCATCTGGGCGCTTTGTTCTTCAGGACAAGCAGTCCTTCCTTCTGAGCAGCAGACGCTGGACCAGAAGAAAGACTCTCTGCACGAATTGATTTCGACCTGAAGAAGGAGAAAGACGGGAAATTTTCAAGATTGCTGTGGATAAGTTCCGTCTGAGTTGGAGCTGTTCCTCCAGGTTCAACAGCTGATGCAGGGATGGCATCCATGACACACTGCATCCTCCTCGGTCCTCTGGTTTGATACGACAATGTTCACAATTAGCAAAAGCCATAAAAGCAACCACCGTTTTCTCTCACAATGTATCTGTAAGCAAGGAGATAAATCACCTGGAACCCAAGACGTTAAGCTCATATGAGATGTGTGCTACAGGATAGTTGCCAGATGGAATTCTTGGGCTCACTTGTTTCAGACTGAGAAGTCTGCTTGAACGGGTTCTGGTAACCTGAGTTCCAGGATTCGTCGGCTGAGCGTCAAATACAGTGAACTTGGTCCCCAGAAAGTTAGATCTGAAAGAAAGTTAAGATAAAAGAGAAGGGTTATGTCAAATATATGAAAAAGCAGGTATTTAAAACCATGGGGTCAATCGGTAGCTAAGTACCTTAGCTTTCCGATGTAGGTATTGCTTCCTCTGGAGACATCATCGCAGTTTAAGGAGATGATGTAGTCAGTGCAAGTTGGCCTCCGAAACCTCTTGGCAGCAAGAAGGAACTTTCCATCATCATTTGAAGCTGCTGCTGAAACAGAAAAAGTAAACTTTTCACTGTTATTCACAAACACATAAGGTATGCAAAGAGAAAAGAAGTAGCATCTGTGAGTGTTCACCTTGGTTTAACCCGAGGTACAGGTAGTAGGTTTGATTGCTGCGGTTTCTCATAATATAGCACTGAACAAGTGATCCCCTTGGACCGGGCTAAAAGAAAGTCAGGAAAAAGATGAGCCTGGATAAGCACACAAGTCAGATATAAAGTAAAAAAAGAGAAAGTGAACCTGTTTGAGGGAGATAGGAAAAGTCAATTTGCTAGAAACCTCAGGAACTTTGACAATCTCCTTGACGATCTCACGCCAGTTCCTGCAGACACCAGCGCAAGAAACAACATTCTTTCTAGAGGGCCAAGTGTCTTCGGATAGCTCAATCCTCATGAGAACATCCCTGAGGAGCTCCGGAGGCATGTTAGCCCAGCAGCTCTGCTTGAAAGCATCAACAGGAACAGAAGTATCCTGAACAACACGTTGAGACCTGGATCTACCATAGCCGAATCTGACATCGAATCCCTTTCTAGAAATACTCCCAAGCTCTCCTCTCATGTCCTGAATGAGACTCTTGAAGGACATGGCTCTGGATTCTAACTAATAGCAAGCTTTAAGCAGACTCTATATCTTGGAAACGCATCTAATTCAAAGTTGCAGACTTTGTAAAGAACCCTAATAAACCCACATTCTGACTGAATGAGATCTCATCACAAGATCTGTTCCCCACCCAATCTATACCAATTAAAACACAGGGTCCTCCTTATCACATTCAGATCGAGAGTAAGAAGCACACACAAGATCCGATTAGATGGAGATCCGGAAATAAAGAATAAATACCTAAAAATCCGATTAGCGGCTACGTTAGGAAGAAGCTAAAAACCACAAGTTATCGGAGCTTTCACATCAATGGCTTCCGCGACGGAAAAGAATCCGGGTGGAGCTTGGGAACAGTACCCAGGTCCCAGATTGGGGCATCGAAATCGACAACCAACACTCGAAAGACAACAGAAGAAGAAGAAGAAGAAGCGGTCAGAGGAATATAGATTTAGGGTTTGGGCATTTTGACGGGGGGAGTGTGTACAATGAATGTGTATGTATGTATGTGTGTCTCTGTGTTATCCAATCGCTTCCTTCCCTCTCTCATTTTTTTTATTGTTGTCAGTCAGTCATCGTTTTTTTTTTTAATTTTTAACACTACCAAATTAATACATTTTATTTATTTATATATCAATTGAAACTGATTAACGGAAATAAAGAACAAAAAGTGATGACATTTCTCTTTCTCGTTGTTATCTGGAAATGTTGGAACTTCACCGTAATAAATATGGTATCTTGTTCAATGGAAAAGACATTTGAAGATAAGAAGACTTTGGTTTAATGGAAACTTTCTTTCCGTTTTTCCTCTTTTTACGCAAATTGTATTTGACAAAACAAATTAACCAGTAGGCTTTTTGTTGCCGTGATCACCGCACTTTCGCCGCTTTGAAGGTCCAAAAGGTGTTTTAACGTTTTACTTTGAGACTTTCTTTTTCTTTATAATTAAGATGGATGAAATCTTCCATCTTTGGATAAATAAAAATAATAATTTGGACTACTATTGATTTGGTCAAATCCAAAGACGTAAAGAAACGTCAATGAAAAAATTTATTGGGCCGTAAGAATCCTTTTTACCGCCGATATTTTGGGCCGAATTGAAGTGGGTCTCGATCCTAACTATGCCTACACACCATAAAGAAAGAAGTTAACAACGGCAATAAAATCATCATCATTTGGCCTTTTCTTTCAAACCTGTAATACTAATAGAGATATCCTTTCTCGGGCACTCTCTACACACTGTGAAGTGGCTCTTTTGATGATTTTTGATTGCATAGGTGAGTTTTTTCCCTCCAATCATTATCTCTGCTACTGCTATACCTTGGGGACTTATCTTTGCCCAGAATGTTCCATTGCATAGCTGTTTAAATGAGCAGTATTCTCAGTCTTCCTCTGTTGAATAGCATAACGCGACTGGAAAATGATGAGCAGGAATATCGAGAAGTGAGTGATTGTTAGCCCATCGTGCTGCAACTAGTCATGCCTTTCTCTTCTGGAATGTTGTTAGGCTATTTGCTGCTTCACCTCATTCTTCCTTCCCTGAATTCACATCCCAGGAACATCGGCAGGTGTTAGTTCAATGTTGCTCGGGCTTGTGATGCTAGGAAGAGCTAATTCTGTTTTCTCTCTGTCTGCACTGTCCAACTTAACCAAAAAAATCACAAGCAGAGAAGATCAGCTTCAGAAAACAGGTAATTATTAATAAGTTAACACTGAGCCTCCTCAAGCTGTAAGATTGTAAAAACCAATGGTACAAGGCAGATACAGTAGGGTGGTGGGTGCGAGGCGCAGTCTCTATAGCACTTGCGTATAACAAGGTACATGCCGAACATAACATTTGTAATATCTTTCACCTGATAGAATTGTGTGCAGTTTAAGCGTTCGGGGCATAGCTAGTTCCAGGGAAATGCTATAATGATCACAAGCACCATCAGAGCACAGCGGTAAGGAAACGGGAGGAGATTCGACAATTTTTGGTGGCTACTAAACGGTTGGTTAATAGAAATGCAATGTATTTGTGCGGTGAAGGAAAAGGATAAAACGGAAAGAAATGAAGAAAAGGCCAAAAGAAGAGATAAAAAGAAGACTAAGACACAGAGAAAGAGAGATACTTGGTTGGTAAGCGTCTGTGAATGGCAACAAAGGCAGGTCTCCTCCCGTGGCTTATCCCATCGCCGAGACACGTGTCGCTGTTCCCAGTGGTTCAATTGCCGGCCGGATGGTGTGTAAGCAAGAGGAGAGCAGCAGACGTAGCAGTCTCCGTCGCCTTCAATCCTTCTGGCAATTTCGACATCTCTGACGAAGGTGCCTACTTGGTCTTCCTTTTTCTTACCCAATTGATTGACTCGAATAAAAGGCTGCTAACGAATTTCATTGTCAAAGGAAGCAGATCCTTCAGATAAAGTAGAACCTCCGATGCCTCCGACGACGGGACGGTACGAAGTAGTGATCGACAACGACTCAATTGGGCGGCTTGACCTATCCCCGTTTCAGAGAGCCACCGGCATAAGCTCACCTTCCTCAGGTAGGTATACATATTTATTTATCCCTCACGTGAATGTGATTGATTCGTTGACTGTGTGTGTAGCTGAACCAAAACGGTATTTGGATCGAACCATCGGATTCACCATCAAGTACAGGAGAGAAGATCCCGGGGATCCGCGGGAGCTGTCAGAGTACCCAGACATAAGACTGTGGTTCGTGAGGCTGGACGCGATGTACCCGTGGCTGCCTCTGCTGCTGGACTGGCGAGCTGGAGAGCTTGCTCGATATGCGGCCATGTTAGTGCCGCACCAGATGAGCTTGAGAATGGGCGTCGTTTTCAATCCGGAGGCGTTGGAGCTATTCGTGATGAACAAAGTGTTTGTGGTTTATCCGTGGCTGAAACGGCACGGCGTCCCCAAACCCAGGTTGAAGACAAGCGACATGGCCAGAATGCTCGGCTTCGGCATCGGCGATGAGCTCTTCGACTTGATCGATCATCATCAATAAATGAATTGTGTGTGTTGTCTCAATCAAAGCCCTCATTTACATAAGTGGGCCTCATTATGGGCTTCTGATGAAGATTCTTGATATTAAATACACACGTGGCGACTAGCCATTGGACAAGGCGTATTAATAGCCGTAAAATCTGGGAAAATAAATTCAAATCGAGAAGCGATAATATTCAAAATTTGAAAAAACAACAAAAATCTACGCTCCGTTAATTCTCTTTTCTCTAGTCTACATTATTATATCGCTCGCTCTTCCAGGTTGAAAAAAGAAAAGGTATGATGATTCTTCTTCCAGGTTGCGTTCCAGTTTCTAGAATTTTTTTTTTTGTTGTTGTTGAAATGGGATATATTGTTGTGTTAGGGAAGACAACTCCAAAAACAAAAATGGTGAGAGAAGAGGAGAAATCGAGATGGTGGTGGTTCGAGAGTCACAAGAGCTCCAAACACTCTCAGTGGCTTCAATCAACACTCGCTGGTTACTTTTTGTTCACTCAGATCCATTTTATTATAAACAATCTGATGTTTTTTTTTTTTTACAAATTTGGTGGGTGGGTGCAGAGCTTGATGCCAAGACAAAGGCAATGTTGAAGCTGATTGAAGGCAACGCAGACTCTTTTGCGCAGCGTGCTGAAACTTACTACAAGAAACGTCCTGAGCTTATCTGCTTTGTCGAAGACTTTTATCGAGCTCACCGTTCCTTAGCCGAGAAGTTTGACCACCTCAAATCTTCCGACTACGGATCTCGCTCCTCTAAGTTTCCCCAACAATCCATGGACTCCGTTTCTGACAGCAATTCTCACTTTCAAGATGCCCATTCTGAGATCGCAGACCCTGAAGATGACGAACTTGACTCTCCCTTTGCTAGTCACAAAGAAGATGAGACTTGGAATTTGGAGCAAGAAAGGTCGAAACTCATCGAAGAGAGTGATGCTCTGAGGAAACAGCTGCTAGACAAGGACGAAGAGAAGAGAGAGGTCATCAGACAGCTTTCTCTAACCCTTGAGACCCTCAAAGACGAGAACTTGACCCTCAAGAGACGCCTTGCCCACCATTCTCTCAAGCGACGCACCTTTTTGGAGTTCAAGCCGCTCGACAAGTTCTTCGGGAAGCTGTTCTACATTGTGTGCGATGGCAACAAGGTCGTTTAGCTGGCTCATCTACCTCATGAGCTTAGCTTCGCTAGTTTCTGTGTTTGATTTCACTGTTTATTAAGACATATCCTGTCGTTTCCGTGCTGTATTATAACCGGTAATTATCCTACTTAACGCTTGCTGTTCTGATTTGTTCAATCACAAGAATCCAGTTTCAGACAAGGTCGTGTGATGAGGGATACATAATTGGATGATGATCAATCAATTTTGACTTTGAGGCACAAAAAAACACATACACTATCACTGTTACAAAGTACAACAACTGCGCACCAGCCCCAACTGCAGACTGCTTTATGAGCAAATCTCACACGAACACTCGACGAAGCTATACTATATTAATATTACATGAAAAAAATTCAGAAGAAACAGAGAGTAAAGTAAGAATACATTGTGAATCTTTTTCTTTTTTCTTTTTTTTTTTTGCAGAAGAAAAAGAGTGCTTACTCGCTGTTTCTATATGCTTACTAGAAGATACTGCAGAAAGCTAGTAGCAACATGAGGAGGACAAGAAGCAGAGATGAGAGTTGTGATGAGACCAAACAAACAGAGGAAGAAGCAGGAAGAGGTGACCCAACTGGAGAAAATTCGAGCAGAGGATCATGAGAGACAGCATCTGGGTTTGGTGGACTAAGGCTTGAGGGGATTGTTGGCATGATAGAAGATTCTGACGGGGAAGGTGACATTTCCCTTGAACCTGGAGTTGGGAACAGGGGAGAGGTATCTGGAGATATGGCCGGAGGAGAAGCTGAGAAACTCGATGGAGCTTCTGGCAAAAACGAAGGTGCAGCTGATATGGTGGACAGCTGAAGCTCTAGGAACTCGGATGTTGAAGTGTGTAAACAGAGTGAGAGAACGGTGAAGGCGGTGAACAGAGAGACCTTCATGGTTACTGTATGTGTCTCTCTGCTTCTCTGAGAATGTTTGTGAGAGACCTTAAGAGGTGAAAAAAGATGAGAAATTGGAGAAGAAAAAGGTATACAGCTATAGAGGAGGTAAAAGACAAGATTTGTGGGTTTGGTTGTGGACCTCTGGTTTAGGGCAGAGCACATGAAATATGGATTTGTCGGGTTTTGATTTGTGTCGAAGTGTTTGTATGTTTTGATATTGTGAATAAAAATTAAAGAAGTAATTAAAAAAAACAGAGTAGAGTCCCGTGAAGCTCTCCCCTGATATATAGAAATGAGTGCCAGCTTTTAACTTGTTATGCTTTTTCCTGATCTGCAACAATCTTAGGTTTATTGTCAGTTGATGAAGACAATAGAATTGGTAAAAAGGAAGCAGTGATTCACCGATATATATTACACAAGACATTGCTGGATTTCATTTCTCATAAAAAATCAGACATTGCATAATTTGTTGACTTTTTGTCAAGATTCTGGCAATGCTTTTAGCAGTACATTCATCTGCACACAATGGTCAAGCATTCTCATGGCAAACTTTCTATTAAACTCAATCCCTAGAGGTTTTGAAGAAAGAATTCACTAAACTTGGAGCAGCTCAAGACCTTCTGAATGAGGATAAAGCTGAAAGCTTTCCCATAAATTCGGGGAAGCTGTATGAGCTTTCTGTGGCTTCCATCTGCGGACGCCTTTTTTGAACATTTATGCCCACACCAGTCCATCAAAGCCGATTTCCAGATTTGACACAGGGCTGTCTCCAATACCTTGGTCAAGCGCTTGGGTGTCATCTATTGGATCTACATATGGCTCGAGCAGATCAGCAGATCTTTCCGAGGGAATTCCATAATCTTTGAGGATGCACAAGGAAGCAGAATTTGAAGCTTCTCTCTCCAACACAGCAACATAGTTGTCTTCAAACTCAAAAACGAGATACTTATCTTTGCACATGTCAATGAGATGTGCCAAGTGATGGATGTTTCTTATAGGAATTCCATTGAACTTCAGGACCTGTTGGTTATTCATGTCCTCATAGCCGATGTTTACTTCATTTGCCAAGACCTACAGATATACTCGTCGAGTGAGTGAATTATCAAATTATTGTTGCACTCACCAAAATGCACATTGAATTAAGAACTCATTATCCTCTGAGGCCTTACCTGTGATAGGATGACGATTTGTTCTCCTCTGAACCTTGCCACAGAGTAGCGTGCCTTTGTTAACAATTTCAACTGCAAATTGGAAGGAAAAGACTCAAGCTGAGAATGCGAAAACTGTTATAGTGGATTCACAAATTAAACTAACAGATAGTTTAGTAGAGTGAGCTTACGCCTATGGTATCCTCACACTCCTCCCTGTTTATACATAAGGAAAAAAAAAAAGCAGAAAACAGTTAGGCATTTGGAAAATAAAGAAGAAAGTTTCGGTTTACTTCTGCATCTCAGCAAGCTGAGAAGAACTTACTCTATCAGGGGTTCTGAGAGCGGAGTAAACACCAAACCAGCAACAATAATGTATGATGGTTGACCTCCATCAATATGATACGGTACCTATTTAAAAGCACAAAAAAGCAATGAAGTATTGGTAATTAGCTTACTAGGCATGACGCGCAAAATGCTTAAAATGGTAGATGCAGATAGTTGTACCAGGTGCACTCGTGGTCTTAGAACTACTTGAACTTTCTTATGTTCTCCTGCTCTAATGATACCAAGCTCAGCGATATCACCTGCAAATCTGCTCAGTGAAATAAAAGCCAAGTATGAGAATAGGTAGAGGAAGTTAATACATCTGTGGACAAGAAGAGGTATTTACTTTTGACTGATGAGATAACGGAATGCAATGCGTTCACTGGATCGGAAGGGTACAGTTCCTTCACATCCCACATGTAGATCATCAAAACTTACAATCACATCTCCCTGAATTAACAATCAGTACTCGTCAGGTATACCAGAAATCAAGGATGAGAAGTTTTGATTGTAGAAATTCTAGAGCAACAATCCTATGATCCACGCTCTTTACCTCTTTCAGGACTTTACTTGCATCAGATGTAGGTTCAACTCTTCGCACCAGTACCCCCTACAAAATTAAGGTTACATCATCACCTTGAATTGACTCAAACTGCTAACAAGAAAGACTCAATATCCTCCACCATTATGTTGGCAAATCCTTAGACAAAAGACAGATGAACTAACAAAGCAAGCCTACCTCATTTGTAGGAACTTTGAGGCACTCCCGCAGAGCTGGATTTTCTAATTTCTGCAGCAACACTCCAAGGCAAGGGTAACCTGCAAGAGAAATATCTTTTAAGTATTAACAAAAGAAAGGCTCAACTAGAAATGGTCTTGCAGTGGAACATATGAACATCAAGAGAAAACTATTACCAGTGTACTTTCCGTTCCTCTCATAATCAGTCAAAAAGTGAGAAACAACGGTTGTTGGAATTACATATCCAATATTTTCAGTTTCTTCGGATCTGTAAACCTAGAGGAAGTCTCTTGTGAGGCATACGTTTTGGAATGAGAATGAGAAAAAGGTATTATATTCCTGAAAATCCCAAAGCAAATACCTGGAATGCTACTCCAATACATTCCCCCTGGTCGTTGAATGCAGGGCCACCACTATTCCCTACAATCTAACAAGTATAAGAAGTGGCTATCACAATAATACTGATGAAGGTTCTCAGAAGCAATTTTAGTGAAAAGTACGCTACAGAAAAGAACAAGTCATATGCAAGTTTTAGAGTAAAGTGAAAGATACTAGGATCAAATGGAAAATAGTTTATAAGAAAGGATCCACTGACCTGGATTTATTGCAGCGTCGATTTGAATTCCAAGCAAGTCAGATGATCCATGAGCATATGATGTTACCTGCATTTCCAACATTTCAACGAGGAAAAGTTCTTAAAATCAACACAACAATGGCGGCATAAAAGCAAAGCCAAAGATATCGGGAAACCTCTATACGTGATACAACCCCTTTTGTAACAGAGATTGTATCTCCTCCAAGAGGATATCCCACGACAGTTACTGAATCCTGCATATCAAAGCCAACATGGGAACTCTATAAAGAACAGCTGTATTTAGATAGATAATGAGAACTAAAGAAACAGGGAAGAACATCTTAAGCCTTTTACTTAATAATGCAGAAAAAAGGAATGGAGTACGGATAACAATTTTAGGTGGACGCTTCAATAAGACCACATACTGACTTAATTTCCTATACTGCACACCACATGAATGGACAGCATATCCAATACTGTAATATTATGATTTGATAGTATAAGATCTGTTTTTTTTTTTGTTTTTGGTATTGTTCATGCCTCACTTAGCCGTCAATGTGTTCTTTAAATATTTGAAGAGGACGGGACTTGAAGAAAACTGAAAGTGGACTAAGAAATACATCAGTATCTGATGAGATGATGAAACCTGAAGGCGGGGTAAATGGCCCAGCCGCAGTGGTTCAGCTCCTTTCCAGAAATCCTCGCTTTCTACGGAAAGCAAAGCTATGTCACAGTCCACACCCCTTACTAAAACCTGTGCAGCATAAGTGAGAGGGAAGTTATCTTCGATTGTATAGAGATAGGTACATGTTTAGTTTTAAACTTATCAGAGAAATAAACAAATTCTATTGTAAGGAGCTATAATCAGCATATCGATGAATACATGCACATGCTACTTAATTCAAAGCAGAAGTAATAATCGCAGGTGCAAAACAAACCTTAGCCACATACTTTCGATCATCTCCCCTTCTCTTAACTTTAACCTGATCAGGAGATATGTGATCAAAGTGAACAAAATGAGAAGAGAATAATAAGAAAATGAAGTCCGAGAAGGAAAGTAAACCTGTGTATCATGTTCGACACAATGGGCATTAGTCAAGAGCTTGCCATCTCCAATCATAAAAGCACTGCAATTGAAGAAGATGCGATGGACACATGAAACAGCCTATAAGCGAGAAAAGTGGAAGAACATGTGAATAAAAAAAACATGCCTTCCAGTGCTAGTAAATTGTCTTTGCTTCTGCCATGGGAGGGAGTAATCAGGCGCAGTATGAGTGCAATAAACCTGGAAAGAAGCACGTAGTTCAAAGAAGGAAGAAGCAAGCAGAGTAATTGAAGAAGAAGAAAGCAATTCATTACGAAACTAACATAAGAGAAGTGAAAGTTTAAACCTTGACAACAGCGTTGAGAAAAGATGCATCGTGAATCTTGCCAGGATCAGTCTGCAGAAGGAAATGGCATTAGACCGTTTATTTATTATTAAACACGAAATACAGAATGCCCCGACGAAAATCAGTTAGGAGAAGAAGGAGATATAGCAAACCTGTTGGTCTCGACTAAAATCAGAGAGAGGCTCTTTTTTCTCCTTTTTTGGTGACCCAAAGGCCTTGAAAGCCATTTTTTGAGGAGGATTGGGACTATCATCTCGAACTCTACCTGGGTAATTCTTCTGGGTCTGTGAGATTCACAAAACAACATAGGAGCGAATGCGTAACCACACATAATCAATTATTAGAAGAAAAAACAAAATGGGGAGAGTTTTGGAGGGGAATGTACCTCTGGGTTTAATATAGGAGATGATGAATCAGACCTCGACGATTTCCTCTTAAGATTCAACGACTTCTTCTGAGATGCGGCTACGAAACACCACGGTGAGGAGACGCATGAAGATTGAAGTTTAACGGAGGCATTGAGGACGGAGAAGCTGCAGTTTGCTACGGAGACGGCCATATCGGCCGGCGAGAGAGAAGAGATGAGAGAAAGAAAGCCAAAGCCAAAGCCTTTTTGATTTTCTTATCCACTCACTTCTTTGGCGCCTCCATGTTGACTTGACCCTCCTTCTTCCCCATATTTTCCTAATTACCACTGGATCCTCATGGGCCCTCTTTTAAACATTAATGGGCCTCTTTCCTTTTATTCTATGGACCTGCCCATTTCACAACCAGATGAAAATCTCAAGCCATGACAAATGAATATGATATGCTTTCCACATACATTGCCTTTTTTATAAGTATAATTTATACTATTACTTTTTAATTTATAAACTGAATTTGTACATTTTAGGTGGTATTATTGTATTATACTTATTAAAAAAAATATCTCTATTAAAAGTAATAGAAATGAATATGATATGCTTTCCACATACATATATAGCCTTTTTTATAAGTATAAATTAAATTATACAATAATATCTCTATTACTTTTTTTTTTTTTACGTATAAATCTTTTTCACGTTAAAACAAAATACACACCCTTTACGTATCTGCACTTATATGCAATGATCGTTCTCGTTCCAAAACCTTAATGATTGCTTATATGAATCTTTTTGTGTTTTTTTTTTTTTTTCGGATAAATGATTAGATCCGGATCTTTAATTCTTTTAATCAAAGCCTGATTTAATGTAAAACTATACTAGTACTACTTTTCTTAAATAACCTAGGCAACTTGTTCATGTGGGTCTATTCGTTAGGTGATTCATTTTGAATGATCATGTCTAATTGCGTAAAGCGATAAGTAACTGATTAATTGTTTGTGTGATAAACATCAAATTTTAACTTTGATTAAAGAAAGAGGCGGCATCCCCAAAGTCAACAATTAAATCAAGATTTCTGGTTTAATCCACGCGTTCGCGTTCCCCATCAACATTACCAACGCCATTTATTTTGTCTCAGTAGCACCAAAATTATGACCATCTTAGGTGGTATATACACAAGCACAATATCATTTAAATATGCAACACAAACATATAAGTATGCAGCACAATTATATAAATATGCAACACTAATTAAACACTATTGATATGCAATGGTAATTTAGATTTAAGATCTAATAGAGTAACATGATAGAACAATTAATACGTGTATAGTACGTGATAATATATGAATTAGTAGATGAAATGATTTCGACTTGAATCTTATGTTGTTGAGTGAGAAGTTGAATAGCCTGAGACAACAAATTAAAGACTAATAGCTTTGACACTATAGCTAGCTAGGACTTGTGTCTGAATTTTGGAATTGATGTTTGGTCTTTCTAGAAGACCTGTTGAAAAAAGCATAATACGCTCCATTTTCAAATTTGGCAATTGCTTTTGTTTTGGGTCTATATGTTAGGGCTGGCAAAATATCCGTTAGATTCGTTTCGATCCGCTATTCGATTCGATTCGATTTGAAAAATTCGGATATCCGTAATTATTCGAAGCAAATCAAATAGATATTCGTAAAAATCGGAGCAAATATCAAATACTATAATTCAAATTAGCGGATATCTGATTCGCTCCGGAATACATACATATATATAGATTATTACATATATAAATTATAATTTTATTATTCTTGTAAGCGTTTTATAATTTTAACTAGAATTTAACCCGCGGTATACCGCGGGGCTATATTTTTAAAAAAAATGTAATGTTATTTTTTAAAAGACTAACTGAAGATATATCATATTAATTTGTATTTTAAAATGTAGATATCTATTTATCAATTTTTGAAGTATAAATACGAAAACATACATTTTTTTTAAGTAACGATGTATGGTGAATTTTAAAATTTTGAATATTTTACTCTGCAGTATACCGTGGGTCGGGTTTTTTATAACTGAAAATTTTAAATTTAAGTTGGATTTGTTTTGTTAATATTGTTTCTTTTGTTTTGTGTTTAAGATTGTATAATTGTATTTTGATTGTTAATTTTAGGATTTCATCCGTGATATACCGTTATTTATTAATATCGACCCAAACCCGTCATCCCATATAAACCCGTCTATATTATCTCGTTAGCTAAATTATTAGTATTATAAAATCCAAGAAAATAAATTATTATTGTTATAAAATCTAATAATTTTAGGATCTCACCCGTAGTATACCGTTATTTGAACGATTTTAAATTTATACTACTAATATATATTTTAAATTTATCATATAAAGTATATGATTTCAAGTTTTTTGTGTTTTTTTTTATTTAAATAAAAAAACGGCTTAAATGATGATAGATATAGTTCTTTTCCTGTATGTGTATTTGATTTTTCTATGTGAATATTTTGATTATTATAAAATAGTATTTTTATTGCTATGCAAAATGTTAATATAAATATTTGCTATAAATTTTTTTGAAGATATATAGAAAGATTGTGTAAATATTTTTAGAAACAAATTAGGCAAGATATTGTTTGGTTAATATCTTTTATTTAAATTTTGTAAAATTAATAATAAATGCCAATGGCATTCTTTGTAAATACTGCCCAACCCTAGGATTTATTTGCTAAAAGTCATCCAAAAATGTATATATAGATCTCTGAATTAATTATTTGAACTACTAGTTTGAACAATTAAAGGAGTAATATATATATTTTTGATAAAATATTACTATTTTTAATAAAATTTTACAATATTTGGATTAGATTTTTTTATTAATTTTTTTTGTTTAATTTTAAACAAATACTTAACGGATCGAATATCCGGCAAATAGTTTGGATTTTAACGGATATTCGAACAGCCGGATATCCGGTCACTAACGAAGCAAATACGAATCGAAAAACTTAGTATTCGGAATAAACGAATCGAATAACAAATACCACTAAAAACCCGGATATCCGCTCCGTGCCCACCCCTACATGTAATGGATTATCACTATTTTATTTTTGGTAAAGAACGCACGTTTTTTTGTACACCGCCCTTCTAGAAGCCCAACCCCACACACACATACTCTTACGTCATTTGCATACAAACTCCCGTCTTCTGGAACCAATGAAATCACTATTACAAAAGTTGCTCTTAAAAGAAAAACAAATTACAAAGAAACCATTTTTATATTGTCGTCAATAATAATGGCCACTTTCTGATTACATATATATGAATGTATATACTACTATAATACGTAGCTGCTCGTGTTTCTTGTCTCAGTTCTCTGTTATAGCCACTAGCCAGGGCATATAAAGATAAGAGAAGAGAAGAACAAAAAGGGAAAGATGAACAACGTGTTTGATGTGTCACCGTTCTTGCTATTAGAAGCATCTGCAGATTCCGAAGCCGGCCACGACAGCGTTGACGATGATAAATGCGTTAAGGATTGCGATATTGATGAGTCTTGCAGTGCCAGTTCGTGCGAGACGTCTTGTCAGAGACCGATCAGTGACCTGGACGATACGGTGAATGAAGAAAGAGACGCCGGAGAGGAATAAGACGACGACGGAGAAGGAGAGGTGAATAGCTACATAAGATGTGGAAGAAGCCAACGTGAAAATCTGGCCGTAGATTCTGGTGCGGTGGTGAGTGAGATGGATCAAAATCGAATGTTCTGGGAAGCTTGCCTCGCATCTTGATCTCTGTGTTTCTTGTCTCATCAAAAGAGAAAACAAATATCTAGCTTAGCGTGTTCTTGTCTGGGGTTTCTTGTCGCCTTTAATGCACAACTATGAATGATATAGAAGAATTCATCATCAAACTATACAAAAAAAGCCTTCACTTCCCTTTCAACAACAAAAAAATGTTTCCAGCTGTATCCAAACCATCCAACATCTAACTAACGTTTAGAAATTTTCTAAAAAATTAAAGTTTTGATTTTATCTTCGTGTGTATATTGAATGATTTTACATATAGAGAAATGGGAGCCAAATATAATCATTAGGCTCAATAGCTAGCTGGTAAATGATAAATGGAACCGAATAATTATAAGAAATGAAATTAAACGGAACAAGTATAATAAGAGAAATGAAAAAAAAAAGAAAAAAAAAAGATATTATGTATATATTTTTTTCTCTTGTTAAGGTTACACCCTTTATTTCTCTTGCAATAGACTCTCAACAAAATATTGTCCACTATGAAAACGGCAGCACAACCATCGTTTAATTAAACCACGAGAAGGCATGACGACGTGTAAAAAGGGACTGGTTGGAGAAGAATCTGTATAAAATCTGTTAAAGGAGAAACAACTAGGCATGCAGCATAATAGTGGTCTTTCCTCGTAAAGGTTGTTCTAAAATTACTAATAATGCTCACCCAATTTAAATAAAATAAAACCAATACTTTTTGGTTTGCAATAAACACCAATTTCCGAAATTAAAGATTCCATGGCTTAACAAAGCTAAAAGAACAAGAACAAACACAAGAAGAGATTGGTATAGTTTTACTATATTCATCTTTGTCTTTATTGACCACTTAAAGTAAATTCTCCCTTTATATATTTTTTATTTGATAGTGGTATACTTTTTCTTGCTTTTATTTTGTTTTATTAATGGTGTGCAATTATATTGGACTCACCAACAAGAATGTGCTTGTTTGTTATTCTTGTTTTTATTTCATTAGTCTGTCAAGCGATGATCACTCTTTCACCTTCACACATGGAAGCTGAATTAATCACAAAGATAATCAATGCTAGTCGAATCTACACTTGTTATTTTAAGTGGGGTTATTCTATTAAAACAAACAGTTGATCGATGACAGTAAAATAAATAAATCAGCCAGAACGACATTTCATGGGCCAATGATATGAGGCCCAGTAAAGAAACAAAGAGCGGCCCATGATACTGTAAAAACATGGAGTACTATATGTAGTACAAGGAGGAAAAGAAGGGGTAAAAAGGGAACATGGAGAAAGAAAAAATGAGCGCGACGCATGGACCGCACTCGCTGGCCTTCAGGGTGATGCGACTCTGCAAACCGTCTTTCCATGTCGATCCTCCCCTCCGCATTGACCCTTTCGATCTTCTCGCCGGCGAGGATTTCTCCGACGATCCCTCTTCCGCCTCCTTGTTCCGCCGCCACGTTTCTTCTGCCGACGCTGTCGACTCCGATCTCAGCTACCGAAATAGATTCCTCCTCAACCATCCTACCGATCCAATCGGTCTCTCTGGTCTCCTGCTTCTTCCTCAGTCCTTCGGGTTCTCTCTCTCTCTCTCTCTCGTTTCTCCTGCCGATTTGTTGTCGATAGATATATCAGCAGCAGCTGTCTGATTCTGATTTGTGTTGCGCAGAGCGATCTATCTCGGAGAAACATTCTGTAGCTATATCAGCGTCAACAATAGTTCCACTTCAGAAGTTCGGGATGTTACCATTAAGGTTCTTCTTCACCTGCTTGCTACATTTTGTTTTCCCTCCTTTTGTATTGCAATCTGAAATCTCTGCTAATAGTTGATTGATTATCACTAAGATTCGTCACCTGCGTAGTTCATATTCATATCTTTCGTTTTTTCTTTGGGTTTGCCCTTATTTCACTGTTTAACTTCAATCTCTGCTGTGGAATACTTCTAAGGATCAAAACCAGAACGATGCTAAGCTATGTATCTCCCATTTCTTATTATTGTAGGCAGAAATTCAGACAGAGAGGCAGAGGATTCTACTTCTGGATACATCCAAGTCACCTGTTGAATCGATACGGACAGGGGGTCGCTATGATTTCATAGTTGAACATGATGTCAAAGAGCTTGGAGCTCACACGTGGGTTTACTCTGACTTTCTTATCTCTCTCTTCTCTTTCTTCTTCTTGTCCTTTTTTATATTTCTCCATGGCCATGACCCTCATTCTTCTCTTAGGTTGGTTTGCTCTGCATTGTACAATGACGCTGATGGTGAGCGTAAATATCTTCCCCAGTTTTTCAAGTTTGTCGTTGCAAACCCACTTTCAGTCAGGACCAAGGTCATACTACTTACTAGTCACTTACGTATGAGCATTTTATTTGTCACTTGTTTGAGTCCTCTCTTTACGCTTGTCTAATTGTTGCTATTTCTGATTTGCAGGTTCGAGTTGTAAAGGTAGGTTCGAGAATGTTCACTTCACTCTGTGAGTGCTTCTTTAGAAGCTTTAGTTTTTTCTTGTACCTCTTATTTTGGTGTTTTACATGGATCATAAATGGAAGGTTTTTCTAAATATCATGATGATGTTTTTGGCAATTATATCGCCATGTCATTAGAATTGGATCCCCTGGAAAAGTTATTTCATCATGTACTTGAACTACTTCTGTTCTGGTCCTCACTAAGTAAACTTATAATCCTCGTCCCCAATATCTTGAACAAGTGGTTTTGTGAGACTAAACAAGTATTCACTGCTCCGCCCTTATCAACCTGTATTTATTTGTTTCTATTGGTTGTAAAATCAATATACAAGCTCATGTGCTGTTGATGTTTGGGATATCGTTTTATCTTTTACACCAGGAGACTACATTTTTAGAGGCTTGCATTGAGAACCATACAAAAGCAAACCTCTTTATGGACCAAGTTGATTTTGAACCTGCTAAGCAATGGAGTGCTGTAAGATTACAGAATGAAGACTCAACAGAAGATCCTCCAACCAGGTCTGTCAGATTTTCCCAAAATCGTTATGTGCATCATAAGCCACTTACTCTATCAAATCGTCCTAATTTGCTGTTCCATCTCTGTGTATCAGTGGTCTTAGTGGACTGATACCTAAACCGCCAGTTATAATCCGATCTGGCGGGGGTATCCACAACTATCTCTACAAGTTAAACCCATCTGCAGATGTTTCCGGGCAAACCAAATTCCAGGGAAGTAATATCCTGGGTAAATTTCAAATAACATGGCGCACAAATTTGGGTGAACCTGGTCGCTTACAAACACAACAAATTCTCGGTGCTGTAAGTTTACAATTTCTACTCTGTGACAACATGACGTGAATTTGTGCCTATTTGTTGATTGTTTGTTGTTAGGATTATGTTCTAAGTCAGAGTGTATTTGGTTTCCTTAGGGCTTTGAGATATTGCAGCCATTTTTTTCTGGCACCAAGTAATTGATTCATATATATAACTAATAGTTACGTGAACAGATAACCTGAGAAACTAATGCAGGGTATCAGTATGGTCGAGTTAGTCTTAGATTTGGTGGCAGTTAGAACAACTAGGAAAACTCAGGTTGCACCAATATCTTTATTTAGCAGTCTTATGCTCACTACCTTGCATTATAGAACTGACAAAAGCTTGCTTAATTTAAAATTTTCTGTATCTCCTTGTATGCTTCCTATGAGATGCTCATCTCATCGTCTAACAAACTTCCCTTTAATATATATATTTTTTTTCAGCCAGTCAGCCGTAAAGAGATTAATATGCGAGTTGCAGAGGTTCCAGCTGTTATACACTTAAATAGACCCTTTCCGGTAATACAACTGTTTTCTCTCTCTAATGTTTGTGATACCCAAAGATTTAATTGAATTTACACTGGCTTCAAACTGAGTGTAAACTGTTTTCCATAGGCATACTTGAATCTCACAAACCAAACCGATAGGCAACTGGGACCCTTTGAGGTCTCACTGTCACAAGATGAATCACAAATGGAGAAGCCGGTTGGTATTAATGGTCTCCAGACTCTGGTAAGTGGTAACATATCTGAACTTTATGTTTTCCTATTTTGAATCTTCTGTGGTATAAGGTCATCACAATTAAGCATACACGGAGGCAGAATAGTAAAACCATGTAGTTAGAACTTTGCACACACATACACGGTGGCAGAATGTTGTGAATCATGGGTAGGCAATGCGTATGGCATCAAAATTTTACAATGCTAGTTGAAGCCGATTCATCACTAAACCGTTTTTATTATACGAGGAACTGACACCATTGAAACTCTTGCAGATGTTACCCAGGATTGAGGCATTTGGCTCCAATGATTTCCAATTGGTATGACAAACTGACCACCTCCAAAGTGCTCTCATCCTTTTTAGATTGTAAAATCTAACCTATATATATATTTGCAGAATCTTATTGCCTCCAAGCTGGGAGTCCAGAAAATATCTGGGATCACAGCCTTGGACACGAGAGAGAAAAAAACCTACGAACTTGTTCCAGAGATGGAGGTCAGTGTACTATTTTTTTTTTCTTCTGGGTTCTAGGTCCCCCTATCTTTAATTAAAACGGGAAATTGGTTCACCATAATCGATATTGTACTGCAGATATTTGTAGAGTCAGGCTAAGTTTTAAGGCAGCCTCCCCGAGTGGTGTTCTTCCTCCACAGGTTTTGTTATTGCACCTCCTGTGTTCAATTTTTTTTTGTCTCTTAGTAAAAAACAATTTGGCTCTTTGTAGAAGAAGGAAAAAACTAAACGGCTTTAACATGTGTAATACGCCGTTTGTATGCGAAACATTTAATTTTACTGTTTGATCAAATGTTAATTGAAAACTGTTTGGTTTAAAGAAGAACTATTGAAGTCTTTACTTGCTAACTATGGAATCATTACAGAGGTACAACTTACAATCTTTTGCTTTGTCTGAGATGCAAATAAAAGCCGTCGAACACAGTCAAGTTAGCAAAGATTGGTACGAAGGAAAAGAAATGGGTGCATAAAAGAATGTTGTGCTCAGCCTGGAATAATCATTAGAATCTTGGTCCGTATGTCAAATGGGGAGTATTCCCAGCTTTCTCCAATTCCCTTAACAAAATCAGCAAACGACCCGGCCCGTCAAAATAATAAAAATTGGGGGACAAGACAGACCATGAAATAAAAGGAGAAGTGTTAGAAAATATTTGGGGGAAAGAAGAAAGGAGGAGGAAGACGATGATGCTCAGAATCCGAAGCAGAGATGGACTGGAGCGAGTCACAGCCGAGGGAGCGAATATAACTGTTTCCCAGCTCAAAACCTTAATCGAGGATCAGCTTCAGATCCCTCTCCATAAGCAGACCTTATCCACCAATCGTGATCTCCTCCTCGCCAAAACTCCCGCTGATCTACTCGCCTTCACCGACCTCACCGACCCAAACCTCCCTCTCTCCTCTCTCAATCTCGGCCATGGCTCTATGCTCTTCCTCGCCTACGATGGGGAGCGCTCCATTCCTGGAGCTCCTCCCGTCACTCCTGCCGGATCCTTCGGCAGGAAGATGACCGTCGATGACTTGATCGCCCGCCAGATGCGCGTTACTCGTCAGGAGACGTCTCACTGCGACTCCGTCTCCTTCGATCGCGATTGCGCCAACGCCTTCCAGCACTACGTCAACGATTCTCTAGCTTTTGCCGTCAAGCGCGGCGGCTTTATGTACGGCACTGTCACGGAGGGAGGACAGGTGGAAGTTGATTTCATCTACGAGCCGCCGCAGCAAGGCACGGAGGCTAATCTTATTCTGATGAGAGATGCCGATGAAGAGAAGCGCGTGGACGCAATCGCCATGGGCCTGGGGGTGAGGAAGGTTGGTTTCATTTTTAACCAGACCGTGGTGCAGGACAAGACTGGATACACTCTGTCCAACGCCGAGGTTCTACAGGCGGCGGAGCTTCATGCCGAGGGCGAGCTGCAGGAGTGGGTCACGGCGGTTGTGAAGCTTGAGGTGAATGAGGATGGTGGCGCCGATGTCCATTTCGAGGCGTTTCAGATGAGTGATATGTGCATCAGGCTTTTCAAGGAAGAGTGGTTCGAGACGGAGATTATGCCGGAAGATGATCCAAAGCTCTCTAAGATGAAGAAGGAGGTGGTTGTTGGTGTCAAGGATCTTAAGGAGGTGGATAACGATTTCTTCCTCGTTCTCGTCAGGATCTTGGATCACCAGGTTCGTTTTTCTCTCTACCCTTTGAATCATTATTGTTCTTTGTACTAATGCTCTGCTTGGGCAAGCTTGTTGTGAGCTCAGTCAGTGTTTGTTCTTCTTCTGTATAACAGACAATGAGATGATTGAATTTGCACTTTGTTAATGGTCCACGTGTTTTAACATTAGCTGCTCTTGTCAGGGACCTCTGTCATCAACATTCCCAATAGAGAACCGGAGCAGTCGAGCAACGATGAGGGATCTGAAAACACATCTGGACCGGGCAAAGAGCTTGCCGTTGGTGAAGAAGATGTCAGATTTTCATCTGCTTCTCTTTGTGGCCCAGTTTCTGGACGTGTCATCGGACGTCCCTGCCTTAGCTGAGTGTGTGCGTCTGCAGTCGCCTGTTCCAGAGGGCTATGCGTTGCTCATCGAATCAATGGCCAATACTTGTTAACTTTTTTTTTTTTTTTTGTTTCTTGATGTATCATGTTCGTTTAGTTCCCAGAAAAACTGTTATACTAGTTGACAAATGAAAAATCTAGTGTCGAGATGTATTTGATAAAAAGTTTGGTGGTTAATTTATGTATGTATCAACAACTTTTAGATAAATAGGTATTAGTTCAGGGGCGAATTGGCAAAAAAGGAGAGCTTCTAAAAATTTCGAGCGAAAGCGAAAAAGTAAAATTTAATTCGAGCGAAAACTGAAATTTAATTCGAGCGAAATGTTAAAAAGCTAAAAATTGGGAAGAGCTTCTTCGTCGTCCCATTTGATTAGATTAGAATCGTCCGTCGGTCGTCACAGAATCAATAGATAGAGTCAATTGGCGGGAGAGGTTAGTGTGGAAGCCCTAGAGGGGAATCACACCATGGAAGACAGTCCTCAAGGCCTAGTGAGTCTCTCTCTCTCTCTCTCTCTCTTGCTTGTTTGGGAATTTTGGATTACTCTTTTTAAGTTTGTCTGCTGTGGGCGTGTAGAAAAGGAGTAGAGATCGGGATCAGGATGACGGCAGCGGCGGAGAGAATCAGGAGCGCAGCAGCGACCAGATAGAGCTCGATTTCCAGGAAACGCGTCCCAAGCCCAAGCGTAGTCGCACCCATCCTCCTCCTCAACAGAATCTCATTGGTACTGTTTCCTAAATTGATTGACTGTGTTTCTTAGAGCTTCATGTTGATCCTGCTCTCAGCTTTCCTTTTCATTTTATTTCTCTAACAGAGGTTGTCAAAGGCAACGGGGATCTTATTTCTAAATCCGTCAAGATTTGGGTTGAAAGATATGAACACTCTCCCAGACTTGCCACCACTGAGCTCTTGTCAATGCTCTTTGAGGTACTCCTAACCTTCTTATATATATGTGTATTTGCCCTCATATATAACAAGTCTGGACACGAGGATTGGGGTTGCTAGATCCGGCCATCTCTTGTTGCTGATTGAACCACACCATGGATTCTGTAGGCTTGCGGTGCTAAATACTCCATCAAGGAAGATCTGCTTGATGAGACTGATGTCGATGATGTTGTCGTTGCCCTTGTTCATCTTGCTAGAACCGTAATTATTTGCTCTCTTTTTCATTCTTTTATTTACATTTTGTTTCTCAAGAAACTTTCATAACTTTCTTTTCCTTGCGGTTGGCCTATAGGGGGATATTGAAGATTATCAGAGTTCGAGAAAGAAGGAACTCAAGAACTTCAAAGAAAATCTTGTTTCATTCTGGAATGACCTGATTATCGAATGCCAAAACGGACCATTGTTCGATAAAGTCTTGTTCGACAAGTGCATGGACTACATTATCGCACTCTCATGGTTTGTGTTCAAACATTACAAACTTATGTGGTTATATGCCTCATACTATTCTATTCATGTTTGTCGTTTCTTTTTCTATTGCAGTACTCCACCTAGAGTTTACCGTCAAACTGCCACGCTAATGGGCCTCCAACTAGTCACATCTTTCATTTCTGTTGCAAACACACTCGGTTCACAGCGAGAAACCACCCAAAGACAATTGAATGCTGAGAGCAAGAAGAGAGCTGACGGCCCTCGTGTGGAGTCCCTCAACAAAAGGTTGTCTGTTACTCATGAACAGATAACTACACTGGAGGACATGATGCGCAAAATTTTCACTGGGTAAGATTGGATAATGATTATACTATAAGCCAAGTATTACACCCACTTAAAAAAGACAAAGAGTAGAAAAGAAATGGCTAGTTTTTTTTATGCGAGTGTTGCTGACTGTTATCATTATTACATCTTTATTTTGAAGGTTGTTTGTACACCGATATCGAGATATTGATAACGATATTCGGATGTCATGCATTCAGTCTCTGGGCATTTGGATTTTGTCTTATCCTTCTCTCTTCTTACAAGATCTGTACTTAAAATATCTTGGATGGACCCTTAATGACAAAGTAAGCTCCTTTTCTCTCTCTCATATGTTATCAAATATATGTTCGTAATAGTCACTGATCTTGTCTGTGTATTGAATTATCCGAAGAATGCTGGAGTGAGGAAAGCTTCTCTATTGGCATTGCGAAATCTTTATGAAACGGATGAAAACGTCCCCACGCTTGGTCTATTCACTGAGAGATTTTCCAATCGAATGATCGAGATGGCTGATGATGTTGATATGTCTGCAGCTGTATGTGCTATAGGGCTTGTAAAGCAACTGCTAAGGTATTTCCCCTCAAGATAATTTTCTCAACCAAAGCTTCACCACAAATATGTTGAACTGCCATGAGTTAAAACTTGAGCTTTTTTTGTTGCGCAGACACCAGCTGATACCTGATGATGACCTAGGCCCTTTGTACGATTTGCTTATTGATCAACCTCAAGAAATCAGACGTGCGATAGGAGAGTTAGTGTATGACCACTTGATCGCACAGAAGTTTAACAGTTCTCCGTCCAGTCTTACAGGTTTCACTCTGAGATAGTCCATGTCCTGGGCACTAGAGTTTTTTACTCTTAGAACTTGGTTCAGAGTTATTATATCCTTTTTCAGGTCATGATGATTCTTCCTCTGAGATCCATATCTTCAGAATGTTACAAATATTACGGGAGTTTTCCACAGATCCGATTCTAAGTGTTTATGTAATTGATGATGTTTGGGAGTACATGAAGGCCATGAAGGTAGAGTCTAAGAGAAATTACTTTTCACTGTTGCACGTTCATTATATAGCTGTGACGTGTACCTTCTACAGTTTTTTTATCATTATTATGATGCTGCTTTTCTTGCAGGACTGGAAGTGTATCATCTCTATGCTTTTGGATCAGAATCCTCGAACTGGGTCTACTACTGAGGAGGACTCGACAAACTTGATCAGACTTCTGTTTGCGTCAATCAGAAAGGCTGTCGGGGAGAAGATAATTCCTTCAACGGATAATCGAAAGCAGTATCACAGTAAAGCTCAGCGAGTAAGATTTTTTCTTTGCTCTTTCTGAGAAAATCTTCATGTTGTTACTTTGATATAACGTTGCAGAAGCAAGAGGACATCAATTAATTTTTTTCTTTTTCCTTGAAAGAAACTAGGAAGGACAAAATACATTTAAATGACCTTATAAGGCACTATACTCTGTTTATATTTTCTTATACTCTTGTTTCCTTTCAGTTATGAAGATAATGACTTTGATGTTTCATTCTTGTGAATAATAGGAAATGTTTGAAAACAACAAGAAAGACATAACGGTGGCCATGATGAAGAATTATCCACAGCTTCTACGTAAATTCATGGCTGACAAAGCAAAAGTGTCGTCTTTGGTTGAGATTATTATGTTTATGAAACTTGAGCTCTATTCTCTTAAAAGACAGGAGCAGGTGGCTAAAATCATTTTATTTCTTAAAGGGCACCTTTTTTTTCTTCTTGTTATTCACCTTTCTCAGTGAAAGTTACATTTTGTCCCCCGTGTCAGAGTTTTAAGGCTGCCGTCCGACTCATAAAGGATGCTTTTTTCAAACACGGGGAGAAGGAAGCACTAAGATCTTGCGTCAAGGCTATAACATTTTGTGCATCAGAGAGTAAAGGGGAGCTTCAAGATTTTTCCCGTGGGAAGCTTAAAGATCTTGAAGATGAGCTTTTAGATAAGCTCACTTCTGCAATTAGAGAAGTCAAGGTACACTTTACTTCCTTTGCCCTCTATCTTCATGCTCATCTTATGGATGCCATTTTACATCTGTTTTCTGTGCAGGATGGAAATGATGAATACTCCCTCCTTGTCAATCTGAAAAGATTGTATGAGCTTCAATTGTCAAAGCCTGTGCTTGTTGAGAGCATGTTCGATGAGATTGCTTTGACGCTCCATAATTTCAGAAATTTGGACGAAGAGGTGCTCAAGGAATTAGTTTAAAGCTCTTACTATTTTTTTTTTTTGTGTCTCTCACATCTTAATGGAACAATTATTCATGGTTGCTTAGGTTATCTGTTTCCTGCTTATCAATATGTACATGTATTTGGCGTGGTCTCTGCACTCCATCATAAATTGTGAAGCTATCTCCGAAGCTTCCTTATCTTCCCTTATATCAAAGCGTGATACCCTGTTTGAGGAGCTTTCGTACTTCCTGAATGGAATTGAGGAATCGAGGAAATATGGTAATCAGCTATCGCTCAGGGTAAGACTATTTGACATTCCAATTTAACTTACACATTTCATTCCGTATATGTGCTTGTGTTATCAAGGAATGAGTCACATTTCACCTAAAAAGTGAAAACTTCAATGCTGCAGATCTGTGCTATACTTGCCGAAACATGGTGTTTGTTTAGAAAGTCAAATTATGACTCGAGTAAACTTGAAAGATTAGGATACTGTCCCGACAGTGTCTTTCTTGAGAAATTTTGGAAACTCTGTGCAGAAATTTTTAACACTTCAGGTAACTCTTTGTTTTGCTTTTCTACAAAGCCCTGTCATTTCTTGATTTTCCAAATTACGTATTATTTCTGCGGGACTTTGACACAGATGAGACTGATGAGGAGGATGAAAATAAGGAATACATTGAAGAGACAAACAGAGATGTTGCGGTCATTGGTGCCTGCAAGTTGGTTACCAGTGATGTAGTGCCAAAGGTACTCACCAAGTCCATTTTACATTGCTGTTATTATTTTAGAAATGTTCTGACACCAATATTGATTGATGCTCACATATTAATTTTTTATATGGATTATTTTCTGTTGCAGGATTATCTAGGACCAGAGATAATATCGCATTTTGGTATGCATGGACCTGGTGTGACAGGCATCATAAAGAATCTTATTACATGCTTAAGGAAAAAAGAAGATGACATCTCTAATATCTATCTGGAATCCTTGAAAAGGGTAAGCTTTTGGCAAAGATTTTCAGAAGATGCAAAGTTTCGTAGTCCAAGAAAATTGCTGACACTATGTGATTGGCAGGCCTATCACCGATATTCAAGTGAAGTTTCTAGTGGCTCTGAAGAATCCAGAGTAGAGAAATGTCTTGAAGTGTGCCGGGAGCTTGCAGGTGGGCTCTCAGGAATGTATATCGGGGCTGCGCGCAACAAATACAGATTGGAGATTTTAAGTGTGGTCAAGGAAGGTGTTGAGTTTGCTTTTAGGGACGCCCCAAAGCAACTGTTGTTTCTGGAAGTTGCTATCCTTCCATTTGCAACCAGACTTTCAGTGCCTGACATCATTGACATGTAAGACTGATGACTCTGTGAGCAAGTAGGAAGCTCTCTGCTAATAAATAACTTTATATATGCTCTTGTTTGCTTGCTGAACAGTAAGAAGGACGTTCAAGGGCGTATAGTGCATGTTAATACAGACGAAGATCCCAGCGGATGGCGTCCTTGCTTCACCTTCTTGGAAACCTTGGAGGAGAAATGCTTGAAAAACGAGGATTTACAAGGTATGTAATGTGCACTCGCACAACATCTGATTTGGTTTAATCAAAGCCGGTAGATATGTATTATATGTCTGCATACTTAGTCTTCACTTGTGATGATCCGTCTGTCACAGACGACAAGGAAGCAGCAACTGTAAGACGCAGGGGACGGCCAAGAAAACGTCCGGAAACAGAGCGAAAGAGACTGTTTGATGAGCAAAGTGGAAGCGATGAGGATGAGTCTATTAGTGGCGGGTCAGACAGAGAAGATAAGCTAGACGAGGATGCTCCTCTAATCGAGACGATTAGATCGGCTGCCAGACGGAAAGCGCTCAGGGGCGAACGGTCCAAGGGACACTGACGGGTAAAACATTTATCAATCGATATGTTTGTGGACATAATTAATGTGTTTAAAGTTTGTTTCTAGTTGATACAGTTAAGGAACCCAACAAAACTGCTCTTTGTTATATAATTCCATCATTTCAAGTTAAGACATTACCATGAAATATCTATCATTAGCAGAACAAAATTGAAAGCATCAAAAACAGAAACAAACAAAACTTGAATTGATTTGATCAACTTCTACCAGCAATTCTCATCAAAGGAGCAATAACACCCTGAATCTCTAGAAGAGACTGTTGTATCCTAATCTCCTGATTAACCTCCCTCTTCAAGTTCCTGAGAAGACCTGTGAACTCGTTCTTACCCTTAATGTCCTCAGCTCTTGTCTCCAAAACCTTCTTCGTCAATCCCATCAACAATCCTGAATACCTCTGCACAGTGCAGTACCTTTGTAAGAAACCTAGCAGCATTCCCAACTCGCCTTCCTCCATATTCGACACGCACTTCATCAGCTTCCTCCTCGCCACTAATTCTTCCATCACTGCAACAACATTGGCCGGTTTCTTCTCCTCCAACACGGAGACCAGAGCTTCCTTATGCCTGAACTTCTTCAAGAGCTTGTCGTGTCTTGTCAGCTTCAATCCTTTCTTCTCCTTGACCAAGAAATCCTCTTCGGATGGCTTCTCGCTCTGCCCTCTCTGGAAGTACCTGAAATACGTCGGCCTCAGTGCCCTTCTCCTAGTCTCATCCACTTGGCTCCTCACACTCCAAAGACTCAAACTTTTCTTCTCTCCAACAACATCTCTCAGCTTCTTCTTACCGGCAAAGACCATGCCATTAGACCCTCCGATCACCCGAGTGGAACCATCGGGCGAAAGGCCAAGAGACATAAGAGGAGCTGGAAACCTCATGGAGAAAGTAACCTTTGCTCTCCCGTAATCAAACACTTTCATGTATCCGTCCAAAGCAACGCTAACAAGTCGCGTCTCAGCGGATTCCATTCTACCGACGCAGAGAGACGTGACCGTCTTGTTGTGACTCTCCATTGAGCAAACCATCTTCCCGCCTCCGATCAAGTCCCAAACCTTGACGGTGTTCCCACCGGCGGTTGCAATCATTCCACCAGAAGGCAGGTATACGACGTCCTCCACTGGGAGTCCGTGGTTGATCTCGGCAATCCATTTGGACTTGTCGACTCTGGTGTCCCACAGCTTCACCGTGTGATCGTAAGAGCCAGTTACCAACATGGAATCGTTGACGGGGGAGCAATCACCGCAGCGGACATAGTCCTTGTGGCCTAACAGATCTGAGATGACGGTTGCTCCGGCGACATCCCAGTACTTGACCACTCCATCGTCGCCGGCGGATACCAAGTGGAGCTTGTCCTGAAAGGGATACTTGACGAATCGAGCGGGTGCGCTGTGGGAGCGGAGGGTACGGAGAGCCATTCGCTCCTTGATGTCGAAGACCTGGACGACACCGGAGAGATCGCATGCGGCGAAAAGAGCTCCGTCGGAACGGAAGCAGACGGAGGAGACAACATCACGGAAGGAGAAACGGCGGGAGGAGGAAAGCGAATGCGAGGAAAAGAGGGAGACGGTGGCGGAGTGAGCGACGGCCAAGGAGTGGGGGTGGACCGGAGAGAAAGCCAAGGCGGACACGGAGGAGACGAGATCAGGTATGGAATGATTTTTGAAAGAGGACCAGTATCTGGATTCCGGAGTCTCCGATTTGGAAACAGGTTTCGCCGTTGATTTTGGTTTCACAGGGAAAACCTTTGACACTTGATGGTCATTCAGCCGAACACGAAGCTCTTCCTCCATTCTTCTACAGTAGGGAGAGCTTGAAGAGTAGAGGGAGGGAGGGGGAACAAGGAAGAAGGAGGCTGGTTTTAGGGTTTAAGCAATGGCACGACGGGGATTGATGAAGAAGACACTTTTCTCTTGAAATGAAAACCCATTATATATTTTTATTTAACTCTCGTTAGAGCCCATTATGTAAGAGCCCAATCAATACTCCGTTTTGTTCTCCACAAGGCTTTGTTTCGTAAGAGCCGAACCATATAATAGTAAAATCCAATTCCAACCATTACGAATGTTTGTTTGATGTGATTTTTTTTTTTTTTTTTAACATACTCTAGAGGATAATATGATGATGATAATTTAGGGGAATGACCTTCTATTCGTCTACAAGCTTTCTAAGAAGAGCAACGCTAGCTTCTAGATGCTCCTTATAGAGAATTTCCCAGCGCTTAAAGTAATCAACGTTTTCTGTCACAGACCAGATAGCGATTGCTGCAGTTTCCTTGGCTAGACCAGAATTTCTTGTAACAACACATCAGAACGAGTGAGGGAAGCAAAAAACTCGAGGATTCAAGGTTTCGTTTGTTAATAGCACCTTCTCCAGCTACTTTCAAGGAAAAAGTGAATATCTGTTCCACTGCGTTTCCTTCTGTTCCACTCTCTAGTGCAAGGGCTACTTCTTTCAACAAGGGATAAACTTTCTCAAACCTCTTTGTTACCTGTACACATACATACAGAGACCATGCCTATGATCAGAATTTACAAACGCATCAAACGTTTTTTTTTCTTTGATAAACTCCAATACTAGTGGCTTACCTTTACTCTAGCGGATGAAGGAGGGAACGTAAGCCGCACCAAGATCTCAAATGAAGAAGGTGGAATCAGCCGCTCTCCGTCCCTAATAGCTCGATTTACAAGTATGGTCCGAGCCTCTGGATTGGACAAAATGCTGATAAGAAGAATACAAGCCAGCAAATAAATCACCTTGGGAGGCCTGCCACCATTTTTATAGTTGAAAAACTTTTTTAACAAAAACTGAAAAAAAAGTAAACGAAAAAACCTGAGCCATCATCCAAACTAAAAGCGGAAGCTTGTCCAGGCCTTGATAGATGGGTCTGTCCCTCAGCTTTGGCAAAACAGCAGTCAAAGGCTCAAAGTAGCAGGCTTACTACGCAATATCATGGCTAATCCAATAAGTAATGCCACCAGCTAATGGTAAAACAAGATGGAGTTTGACAGACAAAGGTAACTGAGTAATAAGACGCATTCAATCACACATGCATATCTTAAATCCCAAAATGACTTGATAGGTAGGTTTGGCATCTGCAAGGGATTTACAGGCCCAAAGTAGAAAGGCTCTGAGTGTCAGAAATGGAAGTTTGTTGATCCAATCGACTGATGTAGAAATATGAGACAATGGAAACTGCAAGCAAGGAAGAAAGATATATCAGCTTCTTCACCAAAAAAAAAAGAAAACGTAAAAGAAAGAAAGAAAGAAAGAAAGAAAGAAATAGCTGCTCACATGGATCAGCGTGGATAAAGGAGACTCCTTGAACATGTTGACCCATGGAAACGATTCTTGGGAGATTTTAATCTCAAAGTAATTGATAAATCTCAATACCTGGTCCTCCGGAAGACTCCAAAACTTGTCCTATTACAGTATTAACATTAATTATGGGTTATCGAATTCGCATGTCATCATTATTATTCACTTACCAATAATTGTTCGAGGAAAGCCGCAAGATCTGATGGATCAATCTTTGCCGCGGCTTCAGAAAAACAAGCTATCGCCTTTTCAGTTTCCTCCGCCTTCGAATTCTCATACCTCGCCGCACCGTTCGATTCATCTTCCACAGCAACTTCCATCCTTGGGTTTTCCACCAGAGCAACTTCCCACAAATTTTTTGTATTAAGTTTTATTTATATATACCCACAAATTTTCAAATTTAAGAATATATTGCCTTTTTGTATAATTTAGTTCTCTCATCAACTTTGACAAAAATACCCCTCGCATCTTTATAATATTCATCCTATAAAAAGGTGGGTGTTTCACCATCTTGTGCTTCAAGCACAACAGATTAAGCATGTGGATGGATTTACATCAGGCAAATTGGAGAATGATCATCAAGTAAGGATTCTCATAAACAAGTTTTGTATACTGATCAAGAACCACAGCACGAAACTATTCATCATGTCTATCAACAGAAGCAATGGCAAAAGAGCAACTTACAATCTACAATCAAGATACATGCTCGATGCTATCTTCCTTCTTCAATTCAATGGTTTGATTCCTAGCTGCTATTCATTCCTTCCAACAAAATGCTGTGTCTCTCTTCTATAACATTTCAATCTTGTTGTATCCTATTTTCCCACAACTCTTTCACTCTACTGCCTATTCTTATCGGTTCACTATTATAGTCCATCATTATACTGCCCCAACTAAGCTATGTGAAGTCAACCATGAGTTTCTGAAAAAACCAAGGGATATTTATAGCTTCAGGTAGTCCTCCCGTCTCCAAAGGTCATGTCCATCCTTTAACATCATTCCTGCGACTTGATTGACCTTATGTTCCTGTCCATGTGCTGCTACGTATACTCTATGCAGAATGCAAAAAGTCTTCTTGGACCGGCTTATGTTAAATCTTTCCATTTCAGAGAGGACGTCTTCCATCTCTTTAAAACGCTTTTGAGATCCATACATGATCATTAAGCCATGGAACATAGACCTGCTCATTTTCCATCCAGCAGAGATTGCACGCTGCATGAATTTGGCAAGCTTATCAGCCGCATTGCACCTGAAGTAACTAGCCACAATTGATCTCATAGTACCATCAGTCTCTATCTGGAGTCCTTTTGTAATAGCCTGGTCTATGAAATTCTCCATGGCATGTAGATTATCATCCTGAGCATAGACCTGTATCACGGCCATAAAGAGAAATGAGGATGTTGTAAGTAGAGACAGAAGGAGTAGAGGAGTGCCCTCGTTGTTGAGCATTGAAGTCAAGGAAGAGCTGCTTGCAATCATCTGCCAAACCGTTGCACATGTAAGCACCCATCAAAGCATTGTAGAGGGAGGTGGTCTTCTTTGGGGACTCGTTAAACAAGGAAAGCGCCAAATCGACATTCTTCAATCTACCAGAAATTGTAATGCCCTTAGCAGTCATGGGCACACCATCGCATAGTGCCTTGTTTCTTCTCCAGTCGAAGACCTGCAGCAACAAATCGAACATCAGCAAAAAAAGAAGAAGAAAGCTTTGTTGTGAAAAAAAAATGAATACCAACCACTAGGGACAAAACGGGCCAAGGACGTAACTGCCTAAGGAGCTCAAGAAAAGCAGCTCCTTGGATTTCGTCGTGACTCTCCAAAACAGAGGCAACTTTATCGGAATCATTACAGAAGCGCAACAATTGGGTTTTCAAAGCCGAAGCGGATTTGAAGGGAGGGTGTATAGGAGACCTGAAGAGGGTAAAGCAGAAGGGGGTCAGAGTCTTCAAGGTTGAAGAAGACCCACGAGAAAGGCAGAGCAGATCAGAGAAATTTGGGAAATCAGTGAGATTCTCCAGATGCGCTTCTTCATGGAGATTCTTCGAGCTTCAAACCACCCCACCATCAATCAATCAATCATCGCGATGATTCGGCCCTTTCCGTTCCTCAAAAATTGGGTTTCAAACTGCTCGTTTTGGGCTTTTCAGTCTTCTTCGTTTCTCGGCCCATTCGAAAGTAAAGACCTTTTCAGGATCCAATCCAATGGAGCATTTTTAATATTATCATCAGATTACCACTAACGACCATTGATTGAATATAATACAGAGGTGAAAGGAAAGTTGTCATGCAATTTCTTTTACCCTTTCATGAAAATCAGTGGTGTTCTTCTTCAAGTAATTAACACAATCAATAATACACATAAATAAATAAAGAGTATATATTTAACTAATGACCGAAATAATAGTGGTTACTCACTTATCATTTTGGGTCAATGAATAAATAAAAGAAACAAAGAACCAAGATTAAGAGTTGTTGTTGTTTGAGTCGTCGTGTCAATTAGTAAATATCTGGTCTCTTGTCCATGCCGGCGCGCCAGATTAGATGCTGTTTCTCCGTGGAATCGCCGTCGTCTTCATTCTCCTCACCTCTTTCTCCGCCGCTCAGAACTCCACGTGTCCTCTGGACTTTTCCGTCCTCCAACCTTTCCGGCGTCCGAAACCCGATGGCGCCACCACCTGCCAGTACCTCCTCCAAGGGCTACGCCTCCTTTACTCTCACCATCTCCGTCAGACGGGTTCCTTTCTCCCGCCACCTGATTCTGCTCCCTCCTGCTGGGCTGCTCTCCAGTCTTCCATCGCCGGATTCCTCCCTCGCTTCGACGTCCGCTCCACCTGTGGTTTCCAGACGCCGTGGATTTCGCAGGGGTGCATGAACATCACCACCCGGTCTCAATTCGAATCCCTAATCCCTAATCCCTCCCTCACCACCACCGCCATGCGCTGTAACACCTCTCTCGAGAGCAATACCCCTTGCGCCTCCTGCACTCAGAGCCTCTCCGCGTTTCAGCCCTTTCTCACCGGACCTTCCCTCGGCAACGTCTCCGACTGTGCTTCTTTTCCCTCTATCTACGCCGCTGCTTTCGCCAATTCCTTCGGTCCCACCGACCAAGGCACCGCCAAATGCTTGTTTCAGCTCGATTTGGCTTCTCCTAGCTCCGGTAATGGCAAACTCATCACAATTCTTGTTTCTTTATCTGTCTTGCTCGTTGCCTCTGCTCTGGTTACCACCGCTTGCTTCTGGTACTGCCGGAGGAAAAAGAACAAGCCTCGGGATACCAGTTTAGAAGCTGGCACGCAATCTAGACTTGATTCCATGAGCGAGAGCACCACTCTTGTCAAATTCAGCTTCGACGAGATCAAGAAAGCCACCAACAATTTCTCGCGCCACAACATCATTGGCAGGGGAGGTTACGGAAACGTCTTCAAGGGCGTCTTGCCCGACGGCACCCAGGTTGCCTTCAAGAGGTTCAAGAACTGTTCTGCTGGAGGGGACGCCAACTTCGCTCATGAGGTCGAGGTCATCGCCAGCATCCGCCACGTCAATCTCCTTGCCCTCAGAGGCTACTGTACAGCAACCACTCCCTATGAAGGTCACCAGAGGATCATAGTCTGTGATCTTGTCAGTAACGGTAGCCTTCATGACCATCTCTTTGGGGACTTGGAGGCTCAGCTTCCCTGGCCTCTTAGGCAGCGGATCGCACTTGGCATGGCCAGAGGGCTTGCTTATCTACACTACGGCGCACAACCCTCCATCATCCACAGGGATATCAAGGCCAGCAACATTCTCTTGGACGAGAGGTTTGAGGCCAAGGTTGCGGATTTCGGGCTGGCCAAGTTCAACCCCGAAGGAATGACGCATATGAGCACGCGGGTCGCAGGCACAATGGGGTACGTGGCTCCAGAGTACGCACTGTACGGGCAACTGACTGAGAAAAGCGACGTTTACAGCTTTGGGGTGGTGCTTCTAGAGCTTCTGAGCAGGAGAAAGGCGATTGTGACAGACGAGGAGGGGCAGCCTGTGTCGGTGGCAGACTGGGCGTGGTCGCTGGTGAGGGAAGGCCAGACACTGGATGTGGTGGAAGACGGGATGCCAGAAAAGGGACCCCCGGAGGTTCTGGAGAAGTATGTGCTGATAGCAGTGCTGTGCTCTCACCCTCAGCTCCACGCAAGGCCAACAATGGATCAAGTGGTGAAAATGCTGGAGAGTAATGAGTTCACTGTTATATCCATACCTCAACGCCCAATCCCTCTGGTTGCTTGTAGGGAAGAGATTGACCGCTCTGTTAGTAGCAGCAGCGGCTCCGGAAAGCTCACTAGCCCCACGGGATATCAGGCCTTCTCCTTCGGAGGTGATGGACCCTCAGGGAACACAAATACCACATAGATGAGATATGGATGTTGTAGATATTAATTTAGTGTGCATTCATTTCATTCTTTGATGCTTCTTCTGTCACTTATGTAGGAGTATTTACTTTTTCCAATAAACTCATCTTGTTGTAACATCTGAAAAATATACATACATGTGTATGATACTATGATGTATCAAATGTCAGACGACGACAAGAGCTTGTTGGAAAAAGACACGAAAGATACGGAGGTCCATAAAGATATCCATGTGTGCAACACTCCGCTCCGGTGATCCCTCCGCTAACGTCATTAATCAACGTTGCAATCACATTTTGGTGGTGGGTTATCTTAGATTCTTTTCTTTTATTTTTACTTGGAGTCTCTGCAAATCTTTCTGAAAGAACTAACGATCGAGTTGCATAAGCAAGATCGGTGGTCACGTGCTCTGATGTTAACAAGAAGAATAAAGACAGATCTGACTCTCTAATTGGTCTGCGTGAATTTTCTGTCTTTCTTGGATGATTAATGAATGATTCACAGCCTCACAGGAATATCAGAAAAACTGAGATCAAGTTTTTGACAAGAGGCCAAAGACAGACATCACGTGATGTCTGTCTCTGTCCAATTCACGCCAGCCACTAGCATATGTGTGCGTATTCAATTTTACTTGGTACATCTTTTTTTTTCTTTAATGTGAATTTTCTTAGATGTTAGTATACACACATATAGTGGATAAATAGTTTATAAACTCAATTCCCCCAAGTGGCTCAACGTTGTCATTAGCTATATTCTAATTTAATGATTATCATCACAAACTGATACCCAATTTTTGGAATGTAATCCATGGCTGCTCTTGGTAAAGGACATAAAACAGCTTTCATCTCTTGGTAACAAACCCCACAAAGATTTCTTGCCTAAAGGGTCATTCTTACCTGTAAAAAGTTTTCATCTTTAATTCTTGTCCTCCGCTTTTCCGGTTTTCTCATTTTGTATGTTTCTGTCTTCTTACTCAACTTTTGCTTCAGGCTTCGTCTCTTTTGCAATTTTGAGTTAGCCAAGTGCTCAAGGGAGATACATAATACCTGAAGATGTCAAAGGCAAAAAGTGATGCCGTCAGAGAACCATTGGTGGACAAGAATATGGCTGGATCAAAACCAGACCAGCCGTGGATGGTTTATCTCAGCACATTTGTTGCGGTCTGTGGTTCTTTTGCGTTTGGTTCTTGTGTAAGTGAAATTTAGATCCCATGGAAAGTCACAAACTTTGTTTCTGGTCTAAAAATGTCTCTTTGATGAACGTTATCCTAAAAATTGGTTTTGATGCAGGCGGGATACTCTTCACCTGCTCAGGCTGCAATTAGGAATGACCTTTCACTGACTATAGCTGAGGTACATAATCCTTCAAGGAAAGACTGTTCATCAATTGATCATTGAAGGTTGCTTACCTCTACCTTGGATTCTGCAGTTTTCACTCTTTGGCTCTTTGCTAACTTTTGGCGCAATGATTGGCGCTATAACAAGCGGGCCTATAGCTGATTTGGTTGGAAGAAAGGGGGTAAGGAAAAGTTTGAAACTTTCCATCTATTTAGTTGCCTTTCTGTTGACAACGCCTACTTACTTGTGGTGGATCTGTATTCAGGCGATGAGAGTTTCCTCTGCATTTTGTGTAGTCGGGTGGCTAGCAATCTTCTTTGCCAAGGTATTACTCAGGATCCCAAACACTTGTGCCTAATGTATCTCGCTTTTGTGTTAAATTTGTGTATCATCAATCAAAGGGAGTAGTGCCTCTGGACCTCGGAAGACTGGCAACGGGATATGGAATGGGAGCATTCTCCTATGTGGTGAGCCCATCGAGTTAATATATTTTCTGTTTAACATCTCGTTATCCAGTGTTAATGATACGTTGATGGGTAGGTACCAATCTTTATAGCAGAAATTGCACCTAAAACTTTCCGAGGGGCTCTAACCACACTGAACCAGGTAATTAAGATCTTTTGTCTCCCTTACTACTGTGTTAGGGAACTCTGAAAATAACCTTTTTTTGCCACAGATTCTGATCTGCACTGGAGTGTCGGTTTCCTTCATCATAGGCACACTAGTGACGTGGAGAGTCTTAGCATTGATAGGTAAGGAATGTATGTGCTCTCTAAGTAGAACTAGGACTCCATCGAAGTCAGAATACTTATGTGTAATGTGGCTTCAGGAATCATACCATGCGCTGCCTCCTTTCTTGGCCTCTTTTTTATCCCTGAGTCTCCAAGATGGTTGGTAAGACCAGAAGAAGCACCATAAAAGCTCATACATGTATATCTTCTTGTGAATAATTAGTCGTACTACATGTGTTTGTAGGCAAAGATGGGGCGTGATACGGAGTTTGAAGCTGCACTGAGGAAGCTCCGTGGGAAGAAGGCTGATATTTCGCAGGAGGCAGCAGAGATTCAGGTTTTGGAATCTCTTTTTTTTTGAATGAATGTAAATTAGGTTTTGGAATCTTACAATCTTCTTCTGAAAACATAACCATCTCATGATCTCAAAACATATCACTATCATTCTTGACAGGATTATATCGAAACTCTGGAAAGGCTACCGAAAGCCAAGATGCTGGATTTGTTTCAGAGGAGATACATACGCTCTGTTCTTGTAACATCCTGTTACCATAATTACCAATCTTCTTAGTCATGTTGCAGATGCAAACTCATCACCAATTGCATGCTTTGTTGGAACAGATAGCTTTTGGGTTGATGGTGTTTCAGCAGTTTGGAGGAATCAACGGAATATGTTTCTACACAAGCTCGATATTTGAGCAAGCAGGTAATAGATATAGAGATTCTTGAATACTGCACCTTATAACTTGTATCTATATAATCACCCATCTTTTTGTGTCAGGTTTTCCCACAAGACTTGGGATGATAATATATGCTGTTCTTCAGGTTCCAGCTTTATTTATCTTCTAGTAGGCAGCAGTCCAAATTCAAAAGATTCTTCTTAATCTCTCTAGTTATGTTCACAATATATCAGGTGGTAATCACTGCGCTTAATGCACCCATAGTTGACAGAGCCGGAAGAAAACCGTTGCTACTGGTAAACAAAATGAGAGCCTTGAAAAGATTTTGACAGGCAGGATTATATATAACAAAAAAACTAACTCGAAGGAGTTGTGGCAGGTTTCTGCAACAGGGTTAGTGATAGGCTGTTTGATAGCAGCGGTCTCTTTTTATCTCAAGGTTCACGACATGGCACCCGAAGCAGTCCCAGTCCTGGCTGTTGTTGGTATAATGGTAAGTGATTTTCAGCAACGTAAGTCATCTTTGTTAGCACCAAAAAAAAAAAAAAAACTAAGATGCAATGCCGTGTACATAGGTGTACATAGGATCGTTTTCAGCAGGAATGGGGGCAATGCCGTGGGTGGTCATGTCTGAGGTAAATTCCATCCCTGAGGGACAATTACTTGTTGTTACTTGACAACTTAAATTCGAATTATTTTGCAGATATTTCCCATAAACATAAAAGGAGTAGCAGGAGGCATGGCGACGCTGGTGAACTGGTTTGGAGCGTGGGCTGTTTCTTACACTTTCAACTTCCTCATGTCCTGGAGCTCTTACGGTAGGTGTAACTCAAATAATCATTCCCTTTTGTCTGAGATTTCCCTGCCAGTCCTAAAAAAGAAAACACTGCTGCATGCAGGTACTTTCCTCATTTACGCTGCCATCAACGCGCTGGCCATTGTCTTCGTCATTGCCATCGTACCTGAAACGAAAGGGAAGACATTGGAGCAGATCCAAGCCGTTGTCAATCCATAGCTCAAACAGATGTTATTATTTCATAGATGTTTCGTGTCTATTCACTTGGGACATTAAGTAGCAATCTTGAATCTCTTTGCTTTTAAGATTCTTTACTTGGATTGTTATCAATCTCTCTATTTCTAATGTCTTCTTATTGAGCTTTGGACTTCTAATGTTTTTCCATAGTCCAGCCTCTTTCCTCCTCTGTCATATTTGCAGAGTCTTCAAATAAAGAGAGAACGCAGATTCATACAAACCAAACCTTACCTCTGCTCTGCCTCTGAGAAAGAATGCAGATTCATTATTACTTTTCTATTTCAGATATTCATTTTTATGTGGGTCAGTAGTATTCATTGGTAATTTTATCTTTTCACTAATAAAACTACATCGTTTGAGATTTTGTATATCCATTTTGCCTCTACAAATAAAGACATATATCTATAAAATCATGTTACAAGTGTATAGCTTGGAAATGAAGTTATCTTAGCTCGAGGCAGTATAGAAACCCGAGTCCTAGCTATGGGTAAGGACTTGGCTTCAAAGTCAGAGCTTATCCAACTTGGACTGTTGCTTCTTCCTTTTCCGTCGTCCATTTTAATTAATACAGTAAGTGCTAACGTTTTCAAGAAAGCTAGTTAATCTCATTTTGAGAAACTACAAAAATATAAAGAAGAGTGCTACTGACTCTATAGGTTTTCGGTTAAACAAGCCACGATGTCTACATAAAATTAAAAGCGCAGACCAAAATAATTACTCTCTCTCTTTCACAATATTAGATGTTTTAGATAAAAAACACAAAGTTTAAGAAAGTCATTAATTGTGAGTTTTTAACATTAAAAATACAAATTAATATCTGTTAAAAATAATTTGACCAATGGTATAATTTACTGCAGAATATAAATAGTAAAAAAATTGTTTAAATTAATGTTTTGCATAGAACTTGAATTGTTTTTTTAAAACATCATATATTATGAAACAAAAAAAAAAAATTCGAAAGTATGTAATATTAAAATGTAATTAAAAAAAAAATGAGGAAATCTAGGCGAAAGTATATCAGACTTGACGTTCAGCACAGAGACTAGCACGATTATTAATTATACACAGATCTCAAATTGTGTTAATCAACAGTCCAAAAAAAAACTGTAACATACATTTTGTAATATATAGAGATTGTTCACGCTTTATAGTAATGTGTCTTCCACGAGGCCTTTGTGAGAGACGAGTTATTATTATACGTAGTCGTCGCTGCAGTAACTCTCTGCAGCTTGTGTCTTATCGGTCGCTGCTCGTCGACGTTGATCGCTCTAGCTTTTACAACATCGACTTTGACTATGTGATGGTCCGAGGTCCCTTTGGAAGACAACACCGAATACGACCCTGGTACGAACCGGTACGGTGAATCCGAGGAAGCCAGTATGTAGTCCACGCGTGTCCCGTACTTGCATGTTCCCTGCACACCTGTATATATCGTGATCACTAAATTAAAACTCTAATGAACCTCGAAGAAACAGCTAGCTAGCTGCAGGCGTTGTTTGACGGTGCTCACTTTGGCCTTTGGCGACAACAACCACAGATTCGCATTCTCCAGCAAAGTCCTTAGCGTCAGTGTATTCTTTGCTCTTTAAGAATCTCATCACTTGTGCTTTTGGTATCGGCTTGCCCATCTCTTCGTAATACTATATAGCAACGTCCGTTAATTACATACTACTAGATTGATTGATTACTTGTATATGCATTTGTTTGGATAATATACCTTGACGATGTCGGTCCATCTCTCAGGAGAATAATCGGATTCGTCTAGAGAATTGAGAGCACCAGCGAGTATGTGCGGTACGTTGGTAGATCGGATAATGGCATCGACTTGCTTCATTCTCCACTTCTCGTCCAAGTGATCAAGATGAGTGCAGTGAAACTCCACTTCCCCGCTCCCCGGAACTTCTATGCTCGCCTTCAACACGTTCCTATAACTCAATCATATATAGTAAACCCCTAATTAATTAATATGATCTCTGTGTTTGATTATCAAAATATTTCTAACATAAAACCACATGCACCTATATAGGGACCTTCGTTATTAGAATGCTTACGAGAACAACAAGAGTACTATACCACGACCTTTTTCTATGTCTGCCACCAATTTGATAAAAAAAAAAAAGAAAAACATTTAATTATTGTGAATTTGGTAGAAAAAAGAAAAAAGAAAAAAAGATGTTTCACAAGAACCCCATGAGATATTTATTTTTATACGAATAATAATAATAATAATTCAGACAAAAGTATATTGACGAGTTTGAAGCTGTCCCTAAGAATATACAGCTGGAGTAGTTCTTCACAGAAAAACTTAAGTGGGCAATGTATATACATGTTTGTGCATATGTGTTTGTATGTATATGTACACACATTTGATACTCTCACGAGACGACCATGACGACTAGCTAGGATCTTAATTAATTGGCACATACATAATTCATTTATTGTTTGATTTAATAAAAGGAAAGGACAATTTGTATCCTTAAGCTAGCTGTAGGGTTTTGGTAACTAAACAATACTTGAGAAAAAGAAAAACAGAGGAGCTAGTGTTAATTAAACCTGAAATCAGTGTCGTCGAAGATTCTTAGAACATCGGAGCTTTTGATGGGCCACTTAGAGAGAATGGCGTTACCGTACTCGGGCGCCCAGCTCTCAGCGAAGACGTAATTCATCCCCAACGCGGCAGCGAGATCGGAGAGCGGTCGCATTTGGTCAGCCTCGTCAGCCTTGACGTCTTGCAGAGCCAGCACGTCTGCGTCTAGCTCCCTCAGCACTTCCAGAGCCGTTCTGGTGCTCCGGAGACCGACCTCGCCGGAGAAAGAGAGAGCAGGCCTGAGAGGAGAGTGCTGTGGATCCTCCCGGAAGCTGAGCTGGCGGCTGATCTCGTTGTCGGGGAGATTGATGGAGACCCTAGGCCTTGATTTGGCAAACCTCTCTTGTTTTCTGGAGTCATGAGTAGGAGTGGCGGCGGCGTTCATGGGCTTGAGAATGCTCTTGGGGCGGTCAACGGTTGACTTGGACCGGAATGGCAAACCCTTGTTGTTTGGGACGGCGGGAGCCATGGAGAACATAGCAGCGTTAAAGGTGGCCACTGTGATGGTTTTCTCCGGGTTTGGGTGAATAGCGGCTGCCGATGGAAACCCATTGGTACCACTCTGATGTTGATGATGAGTCTCAGGAGAAGTATCACCTGAGCGGTGGTGGTTGACGGAGATTCTGGCTTTCCGGGGACGGCGGAGACGACGGCGGAGGAAAGCAATGAGGTTCAACATATCAAAGGGCGATCGCATTTATTAAGCTTAATGTCTAAACTAGTAAGTATATATATATATTTTTGACAATGAGAGAGAGATATAGATTTCCTTTAATAATAATAAAAAAAGATTCATAGAAGAAATTAGAGAAATGTGGAATTTGGAGTTTGCACTTTGCACAAAGAAGGCCATATCAAAAGAGAGCAAGTAAAATGGTATTGGCTTACGTGGCATATATATTATAAACTTATCGATGTAAATGTACATAAATCCCTTTTCCTTGTCTTGTATTTTTTTTTTTAATAAAAGCCCACCAATCATTTGGTTTCAGTCTTTTATTTTGCAATACAAAAATCATGAAATACAGTATGGTACTGTATTTTTTGTTTAGGTTATAAGTGTCGAACTAAAAGTATACAATTATTAAACAACTACTAGGAAGGAAGGTTAGAGCATGATTATTAGTAGTATTTTAGAAATAAATCTTAGGAATATTTAAGTAATATATTTGTAAAAGTGATAGGTAAGAGATAGTATTTTTGAGTTAAGATTTTTGTGTGATTAATGGTAGGTTCTTAACATGTGATTCTTAGAAAAACAAATATTAATATAAAAATAAAATTTATAATTATAGAAAATTTAATAATAGTTGTAAATTAAAAAAATTAAAACATAATTGAGATACAATTTATCAACATCTTTTTTTTTGAACCTGTTACAGAAGAAAAAAATTCTGCTCTAAGGACATACAGAAAAAAAAAAATTTAAAACATACAGAAGAAAAAAATTCTCCTTTTGATTGTTTTTTGAACCTGTTACACAGTGACACGTATCAACATCTTAAGCTAACAAAAACATCCTAACTAAGATACAAATCTTAGATTAATTTTGTTGGTATAATTATTTTTAATCAATTTTAATCCTAAGATATCTCTAAGATATCACCGTTAATGCTGCTCTTAGAGCATGATTATAGGTAGTCTCTTAGAAATACTTCTTAGCAATATTTAAGTAATTTATTTATAAAATTTATTGTTAAGATATAGTATTTTTGAGTTAAAATTTTTGTGTGATTAATGGTAGGCTCTTAACATGTGGTTCTTATAAGAAAAAAATATTAATATAAAAATAAAATTTATAATTATTGAAAATTTAATAATTATTGCAAATTAAAAAAATTAAAACATACATGAGATACAATTTATTACATAAATAACATAAAGCACAAATGTTTTAAACTTAATTTCTGGAATATTTTGTCCATATATACTCGACCAAATCATTCTTCAATTGTTGATGCATTTTTCATACGGTTAGTTTGCTAAGGATATTTTCTGATATTTCAGTTATTTTTGAGTATTTTTAGATATTTTTCGGTTATGTTCGAGTATTTTTATTATTTTTATATATTTTCAAGTATTTTTGATTATTTAGTCTATAAATAAATAATTATTTTAGAATGTATTTTGGGTATTTTCGGTTATTCGAAATATATCGGTTCGGTTTATTTATCCATGCCTAATTTAACTCATCAACCACTCATACACGGACACGTGGGCGTCTCTTAGCTTCAGTTTTGGCTCTTAGCTAAAAGACGTCTCTTAACTATAAATTTAATTTTTGAATTAAATTAAATCAATTAATATCTAAGATCCACCTAAGAATTTGTTAAGAGCTTCTATAAAGATGCTCTTATGAACCATCGTCAGAGAAGAGAAAGGGAACATATTTAATAATATAATTAATGAAAAGGAAATTAACAACTCCCAAAAGTTATGAGATTTTTTTTAGTAGCTGGTGGGTCACTCAGGCCTATTTGACATGGACATCCTCATTATTAAAACTAATTAGACTATCTGTCGCAGTATCAATTTCAAGCATATGTGGACCAACTGCTCTGTTATTTAAAAGTAGTACGTAAATCCTCCTACACAGAAGAACACATTGTAGTAGTATTTAAATAAGGAATTTGATATCAGTCAGAATCAGTATTATTATTATTTTATGGAGGGGATATGAAAGATTGAATAATTTATCTAATACAACAAAAAGAAGAAGAAAAAAGAGTCAAAAGGAAAAGAACAAATTAGGATGGAATAGAGAGAGCGTTGCAAGTTAGGTGAAGTGTTAATTGTTTATTTGTTTTGTTATTGAAGTCTAATAATAATCTCTCTTAGCTGGATTTTGTAATAATACTAGTAGTAATACAAAAGAGTTGCCATAAAAAAAACTGCATGCTGTTTCCATCCTACCAAAACGGCATTACATACTCTGTCTTTTTCCTATTATTCATCCAAATCCTTTTTCTGCCACATTCCCACTCAAATGTATATGCTATGGCCTATGGCTATGCTGTTGTCTTCCAATGAATGATACTTGTATATTGATATATAACAACAACACACTAGAAAACGACGATGATATGCATGTTTGATGGAAGCTCATCTCGCATACTACATAATTATCATCGCTTATAGTTATGGGCATAACGGGGATAGACTGTTTTGAATAATTAATTATTAAATGGATGATTATTTAATAGTGGGCCGCGGCCCATTATTCAATTATTTTAGGCCCATCGTCTCGGATGGGTCCGGCGGGTGATGCACTAAACGTGTCAAGCGTACAAAATGGTCTGTCACACTCTTACAATGGCACAGCCTGTGTGATAGAAAAAAAGAAACAAAGAAGAAAAGACAAGGTCTGTGTGGCTGCTGCTGTCATCGGAAAGAAAGAAGAAAGATCCACTCTACCAGCTAAGCTTCACCGGGAATATGGACGAGGACCAGCAGACCCTAGAATCAACCACTAATAATAAGGTTAAAAAAAAAAAAGTAACCTAACCAATCCACATTAATTACTCACTCTAATTTGAGCTTCTAGGTAGGAGAACTCTTGTTGCATCTATAGGTAAAAGTTTATTAGCCAAGGATTTTAGTATATAACCTATGTTTTAGTTAAACTCCCCTCTTTGCCATTGTTTTATTGGTTTACCTTGTCTAAACATGGGGGCTACGTACATCTTTGATCCTGGTTGTCTATTTGGTGCTTCCATCTGTATAATTAAGTCTAATTTCCTCCCAAATTTTGGCTATTGAAAAAACCTGCTACTCCTGGGAGGTCGATAGATATCTATGCTGCACAGTGTGAAAAGTGCTTCAAGTGGAGGAAGATCCAAGAAGACTATGAGGAGATCAGAAGTAGAGTACAAGAGGACCCCTTCGTCTGCGAGAAGAATGAAGGTATGTCCTGTCGAGATGCTGGAGACCTAGACTATGATTCCACCAGAACTTGGGTCATCGACAAGCCTGGCTTGCCAAGGACACCAAGAGGGTTCAAGAGGACCTTAGTTCTCAGGAAGGACTACTCAAAAATGGATGCCTACTACATATCTCCTACTGGCAAGAAGATGAGGACTCGCAATGAAATTGCAGCCTTCATCCATGCCAATCATGATTACAAGGATGTACTGCTTGGAGATTTCAATTTCACTGTCCTAAAGGTGATGGAAGACACTGTCCCTTGTGGTATATCTCGGAAATGATCAGGGTATCTCTAGGATCTAGCTGGTTTAGTCTTTTAGGAGGTTGGACTTCTGAATGTGGAATGCTTATGAACCCATCTTTCTTTCTAGTGAAAGATGACATTTCTCCTCTTTTCATTATGTCACAACTACAATAATCAACTACAAGATGATGAAAAAAAATATATCCCTCAGAATATTCCGCGCAGTATGTACAAATATGACAAAGTGTTTCTACAGTGTGAGAGACTGGTTGGACCTAAGCATCATAGTCTAGCTTTGTATACTCGAGCAGCATGTGTGGGGATCTATAGATCTTCACAAGCGTCCAGTATAGAACTTCTTCTACTCCAAGCTCACCCTCTGCTCTCGCCGCGTACAAGTCCTCGCATATGGCTATTAATCTACATTCAACAGTGAGTGGTCATAATCTCTTAAGAGGTTGAGAGTATCATGGAACAGTAAAACTCTGGGACAATGTTTACAGATATTACCTGTCACACGAAGGCAGGTTCTCATACGGTATTCTCATACGCAGGTCAGAGCATTGAAGCCTGATGAAACGCCCCACAGCTAGTACAAATGTGATATAGAGTCCCCATATACTGAACTTGCTGAGGGTGTCACCCAGAAAGCCCTCTGCATATTATTTTCGGTATCATTAATAGAACATGAGTTATGAACAAACACTTGAATTAGAAGAGCTAATTTACGTGGCGGTGTTTCCTCAGACATTATGATAGCAACTGGTCCATCCATCCCCTCGCAAGCGCTGATATTTTCAGACGCTTTAAGATTATGAAATGACCACCACCACTTGAAATCTGCATGGTTAATGAGTATGTCTGCACTCACTTCATCCGTCTGTGGCAACAACATTACAATATTGGAAGTATAAGCCAAAACAGGAAACATTGTCTGGAAATAACTCTTAGCTTGTGCAGACAAGATTTACCTGATCCTCGAAAGACCTGACATCACCAGAACCAGTAACACGGAAGAACTTTGGGTACAAATTATGCACCCTAAATCCATCCATCGACCCATTGAGAACCATTTGGACATCAGAGCGTTTTGGAAGGTCCAGAGGGTCGACACTTCTTTCATATTTCACAGTCTCCTTGCCTTTAGGGCGGTCTCTGTTAAGAACCCAAGTAAAGGTGATGTCCATATCTGTGTCCCAGTCAAGGGATTGAATAAATCTGGTCACAACTGTGTCAGGGACAAGCCATAAAACACTTGCATCAGCTTGACAGCATATCAGCTGGATGTCATTTTTGTTGTATGTTGGCAAAAAGCTTTGAGACCCGATATCTAGCCCGAGATCAATGTTATCTCCTGAGATTCTCTCGCATAGGGTCGTTTGGTACAAAGTAAGCTTTCCACCAACTGTTTTTAAATCGATCTGAACGCTCGCATCTTTTATCGGATTGGCAATGTTTGTCGGGTTACCACTGCTATACATCTGCAAGGAGAAAGCAGCCATTACCAACAAAAAAATGACTCACCAAATACTCAAACTGTAAGACATCACAGAGAATTAATGGATTAAGCCAGCACATAATTTTTCTTTTCCAATACATATAAGCATAATCTATGCATCATGAGTTCTATTCATCCCAAGAACGTACTGATAATTCAGATTCGAAATGAAAAACTTTACAAAAGCATTATAAAAGTTGTGTTGTACGAAAATTCTTACCAGCATAGGAGCCCAGATAACACATAACAAGATGAAGAACAGACATATCCCGTTGCAGCATTTAGTCATTTTGGTTTGCTTCTCCCCATGTTTATGTGTCGCTCGATTTAAAACTGTATCGCATTTGACAAGGTACAAACTCGCATTTACATCTTCCAACTGCAAACGAAGAGAACTTAAGCCCTTGGCAGTATGTTCAAACTAACATGAATGATCTATGATCATAGCAAGGGTTCCAGAAAACAAATGCATGGGATCAGACGATATACCTTGAGCCAGTCATACATTGTCAGTGATGTAGCTGTGCAAGACCAGTCAAGCACACATCTCAGTTCATACAGGAAGGGAAGAGCACGGTAAAGTCTGTAACCATAGTAATTGATCCGTGAAACTTCACTTGTCAAAAACTGCCGATACAAGGTGCTTTTATGAGGTAGTCCATAGCGGATTTGTATGGCCTGGAGAGCTAGTGACATTGCTTTGGCAAGAAATATGATTCTGAGAGCCAAGCCAGCAGCGTGTTGCTGGGTAGGATATATGCTCCAAGCATACTCTGTCACTGCATATGTGAAGAGAATAAGACTGAAGAGATAGTATACCACTTTTCCAGTCGCAAATGAGCAAAGATAGATGACGCGATCAACAACAATTAGGAAGAAGATAACCTGCCATAAAAGCATATCATCGGGTTAGGGCACTGATACAAAACGGGTGCGAACAGATAAACGAGACTTATAGAAATGGATTACCATAAGAATAATGACAAAGTCAAATGGAAACTGGTCTTCTAGCTGATATACATCAATAAACTCGCTTTTATTTTTAATGACTGATTGGTAGAAAATGGCAACCAGAAAGAAGACTATCAAGTCAGCACCAAATATGTAGGCATAGAGGTCAGTATCTCTCTTTCCTCCGCCAATCACAGAGAGAATGGGGTATGGAAATCCAGTTCCTTCAACAAGTCCACTATGTTGAGCTTTACGAATTTCTTTCGCCACATCCGAGGCTGGGGTAAGTGATTTGTACCATTCTGCTGAAGAACACCCATTCGTGGGAGAAGCATACTCAACCTCGAGAACAACTAAGGCCTCGTTTGGGGTTTCTGTACTCCTCTCTATACTTTGTACGTGAACCCTGCTAGAGTAAGGGCAGAGATCAGGGTTTCCTTTCTCGCATCTCTCATTATGGACAAGCCTAAGCAACTGATTCATTCTACATTCAACTCTTTCAGGCTGAATTCCATCTTCAGGCCACATGTGAACATCCATTGTCACCTGAACAAAGTAAGGAGGGGATTCTGCTCCACGTGTCAAAGATATCCAGTATCGGCAGATGCTCCTGATCACCAGCTTCCCACTATCTCTTAGCTTCTTGAACACATCCAAGATTCTCTGGCTCAAGCTAATTCTTGTAAGATCCTTCTGGCTACCACGGGCATTCCGGCGCGAAGTAAAATCAGCAGAAGGAACCCAATCACCATCTTTCACTGTTATAGCAGTCTGTATGAGAGTAAATATGTAAATAAGGAATAGAGGCAACGAGCTGACAACAAATGATGATTTGATTCTTTGAGTTGGAAATCCCAATTCATGAAGAAGAGGTGCATCAATGCTTAACCCACAGTGCTGGATTATAATCTGGTATAAATACTGGAGCAGGATATAAATTTCTGTGTACATTAGCATGATGACCCAGAAGATGTGAGTAGGGCCAGTGTGAACGCAGAGGGCATATAGGAACAGTGCTGCTAGATAGACCATGGAAAGAAGACTGAAATTCCAGAGAAACGCAATAATGAAACAGCAATAGCAAACAATATCGTTATTGGACTGCATCCTAGACCATATATGACGAAAGATCCTTCCTATCTGAAAGCTAGTGCCATCACTACTCCTGTCAGATTGTAGAGATGTTGACCGTTCGAAAGGCGTGTGTTTTCTTTTCTGACTTTCCATTTCATCATACACATCATCATCAACAGAAGACTGCTCATTTGTATCTGAATTTTCCGGCGAGATGTTTAAGAAATTCACAAGGTTATTTACTGCCTGATTTCCAATAAATTGTACCTGGGAAACACCATCACCGATGAGTTGCACCGCAGAAATCAACGGATTCTCCTTTCCCTCGGACTTTTCCTTTCTTTCACGTCCCATAGACATCACATCAAGATCCTGTTGAACTTCAGTTATCTCACAAGGAGATGCTCCAAATAAATACTCTGGAGAATCTAGTGCTTCTGGAGTGGTACTCACTGGAAACTCATGCGCTTCAAAAGGATACTGTGACTCCTCGTCAATAGGCTGCTCTTCTTTCCTGTGGACCACTCCGTCAATCTCAGGACTGGCTGCACCACTATCTGGAATTAGATACGGACTCTTCCTCCTTCTTAGACCTTCAGTGCGCGGAGAAGCAACTCCAAAATTAGAATCAGAATTCATTCTGTGAAGCTGTACCCGCAGGTTCAGCATTTCAGATTTCATCTTTTCCACCTGCAAATTCCGCTGCCGTTTTTTTTCCTCAGCCTCACGAATTTGTTGCAGTTGCTCGGTCTTCCGTGCTGCTTTCTTCTCTTGCTCCCGCACAATAGCACCGATTTGCTCTGCTTCAAGATACCGCGACACATAATCAAACTCCTGGGAGGAAAACATGTAGGACTGAAGAGATACTAGCATAAATATGATGATCTCAACGAGAGCAGATCTTGCAGTGATTCGAAATCCATAGTCATACTTGTAAAATCCAATCACCTCGTATATATAATCAATGGTTTCACATTTTCCATCATTGAAGTTTCCAACAAATGGAGACTGATATGCGAGAGAAAAGATGATGAGAACAAAATTGTACACCCGCAAGAACCTGAATATTTTGTTTTTCTTCTTCAGTATTTCAAGTCTCATTCGGGCAAAAACAAGAGCGAATGCAAGATAACCCAGGTGTAGAATGTCATACTCAAGAGTTCCTGTGATTAGAATCAGAATAAGCACAACATCCAGCAGATGGACATAACAATAAAGCCTCAGGTAATCAAGCACAGTCCACATGCTCTTTGTCTCGAAGGAGAGATCTCTCCAGACAAATGAGTTCTTTCTTTGAGACTTCATCTGATGATATGTCGATGACTCTGAGAAACTGGATATGTGATCAGCCCGAAGTTTGAAACAGGCAAGCATGAATACCACAAAATAGCTAATAAGAGTCCGGGGGTCGTCCACTCTCACTCCTGCAAAAATAAATAGAAAAAGCTTCTCCAAATAGTACCTAATTCTTGGATCTGTATAATAAAGAATTATTGAATAGAGAAAAGTGCTTCAAAAAGTTTGAACGGTCATACCAAGCCAACACTCCCGGCAAAATTTAAAGTAGAGGGCTGCAATACTCCAGCAGTCATGGCAATGCACACTAGTT